GTCTTGGTGCAGTAGGTTAATTCTCCACCTGCATTGCTGGCATCCCATATAGGTGCCGGTTCTAGTCCCGGCTGCCCCTCTTCCAATCCGGCTCTCTGCTATGGCCTGGGAAAGCAGCAGAAGATGGCCCAAGTCCTTGTGCCCCTGCCCCCAAGTGGGAGAAGTGGAAGAAGACCCCGGCTCCTGGCTACCAATCAGCCCAGCTCCAGCCATTGCGGATATTGGGGAGTGAACCAGAGGATGTGAGACCTCTCTCTTTCTCTCTCTCTTGCTCTCTTTCTCTCTTTCCTCTCTCTGTGTAACTCTGAATCTCAAATAAATCTTTAAAAAATAAAACTATGAAAAATGTGGGGAGGGAAACAGCAGATGGAGATTTTCATCCAACCGTCAGTCTGATTATCTCACTGCGTCACACTCCTGCTGACCTAGTGTCCTCAAACATTTCCTTCCTTCCCTAATTGGAAAGGCAGACAGACAGACAGAGAGCTAGCAGAGCAGGAGATGGTCCAAACTGGTAGTCCCTGGGGTGGGCAGTAGCCCGAGTACTGGACTGTCTTCCTCGGCCTTCTCAGGCACATTAGCAGGGAGCTGCATGAGAACCCATGAAGTGGAACCCTGGCGGCCAGGGCACCTGCCCAGGATGGAAGTGGAGGCTGAACACCCTGAGCCATGGGGCTAGCCTGCTCCCAGCCCTGTATGTCCATTAATGAGTCCATTATATGTAATGTACAGCCTCTAGTGAAGATATTGCATGATAGGGAGGGCAGTAGATATTGGTGGGATTTGGGGACTGAAACAGCGGAGACATCCTTGCTCTGTTCCTCCTCTTCTTTGGCTTGCTCTCTGTCTTGCAAATGAGCAGAGTTAGTGTTTTCTCTAAATTTTTACCATTATACTTGCTGATTTTTGGATTCCAACATTTATTTACAAGGTAGAGTTATGGAGGGCCAGAAAGTCAGAATGTGGGTGAGAGAACAAGAGATAGAGATAGGAAGAGAGAAAGAGTGAGAATGAGAAATCTTCTTTGAGCCAGAGCTATCCCCAGATGACTGCACTTGCCTGGGCTGGGCCAGACTGAAACCAGGATCCTGCATGAGCTACCTGGTGACCCATGAGTTTGAGGACCAAGAAATCTGCCTCTGCTTTCCCAGGCAGGTAATCTGGGAGTTGGATGAAAGTTGGAGCAGCCAGGACTTGAACTCATGCTTATTTGGGATGCCTGGCCACAACATGGCCTGCTGCTTACCCTGCTTGGCCACAGCTCTGCACCGCCCCCAGAAGCAGGACTGAGGATGTGGGGAGCAATCTGGACTGGACTGAGTTACTGGAATTAAGACTTATTCTATGCATCTGCTCTCCCACAATATGGCGCTGGGAGAGAAGTAAACAGCTTCCACACAGCTGCCTCCAGTTCAGCTAATAAACTGTAGGACTTGCTCCTGATTGGAGGAGAGCAGCGTACTCGGCGTGTGGGCAGCCGAGTTGGGATTGGCGGAGGAGGACTATAAAGGAGGAGAGAGACGGCATGCACCAGGAACATCTAAGGGGAACATCTAGCTGAAGGAACACCCGTGCAGCCCCCGAGACGAGCCGGCCGGCGGTGTGCCGCTCCCCTGCGGAAGTGGGGAATGTGGCCAGGGGGAACTGCCCTTCCACGGAGGTGGAAGGGATAGTAGCCAACCCGGGAAGAACCAGCAGCAAACCCGGGGAGGGCCGAGCAGACAAAAAGAACAGCACAGGGTTCAGTGTTGCTCCTCCACGAAGAGGGGGAGCGACAGAGGAACGAGTGTCTGGGGGGTGGACATGGGGACTGGCGGGTGTGACACTCCCTGTGATGCTCACACCCCACGTGGGAGGGCCTGGCGTCCAGTGCAGGCTCTGCTCCAGTACTGACTCCTCCCAGACACACTGTGGGAGGCAGCAGGTGAAGGACAGGGGAACTCAGTCCCTAAAGTCCACGTGGGAGACCTGGGATCAGAGAAGCAGACACAGGGAGAGAAAGGACACCTCTCATTCCAAGTTTGCCAGCACTCGCTCTGAAGCAGGTAAGTAACCTCTGAATTAATTATCACTCATTAATTACTTTAGATTTTAAGTTTCGCTATATCATCTCTGCCTTTTGCTTGTTGTGTTGAAAAATATTTTCTTTCTGTGAATGGCAGAGTGATGCAGAGAGAAGCAGAGACAGAGACCGCTCATCTGCCGGTTCACTCCTGTAAGGGTCTCAGAGGCTGAGTGGTACCCCATGGGAAGCCAGGAGTGGTGAACTGCACTGGGGTCACTCTCAAGAGAGTGATGTAGACGCCCAGACTGGGGCCACCTTCATCATTCTTCCCAGGCACAGGAGCAGGGAGCTGCATCAGAACCTGAGCCACAGGTAATCGAAACTCTCTCAGGTATGGATTGTCCCAGTTACAAGGCATATCATCGCTTTCTGCTAAATTTTGCCAGCACTGTCTCTACCTCTCCTTGGTAACTCTCCCATAAATTAATCAGTTACTATAGATCACAAAGATTTGTGTTACCATGACAGGAGCAGCCCTGGATATTATGGGCATTTGGGGACCAAAGTTGTTGACGAAGGTCTCTTTGTCTCTTATTTACTGATTCATTCCATCTGTAGTTCTCTCTGTGTGTGTCTTGCAATTCCAGACCATTTTGGTCTTGGAAGGCAAGTTGTAGAATGTACATTTCATGCGACAGATCTGACATTTCTGGGGATGCCCCTGACAGCCTTGCAGAGCCTAGGTTGAGGTCCATGCTCCACTGGCAATGCCAGGTTCAGGGCATACACACTGAGGGAGGCAGCAGGTGACAGTGGGAGCACCTGGGATCCTGCCAGAGAACCTAGAGGCCTGGAGTCTACTGCCGGAGCATGGTTTCCAGCTGGCCTGAACTAGGTGTTTCTGTATTTTAGCAGGGAAGAGCAGATGGGAGTTTTCTGTCTGTCTGTCTGTGCTTGCGTCTGTCATTCTCTCCCTCTTTGCCTTTTACTGAAAATGCTGGAAGATCTTTTCCTCCTTTGAAAGGCAGAGTGACACTAGAGAAGCAGAGACAGAAAGAAATATCTTACCCATGGGCCACTCAAAAATGGCATCAGAGGCTGGGCTTGGTTCCAGTGGGAAGCAAGAGGGGAAACTGCTCTGCGGCCTCTCTCATGTGGGAGGCGGTGGCAAAAGAACTGGGGCGATCCACATGGGAGACCTGGGTTCAGCTCCTGGGGACCATGGCCTCAGTCTCACCCAGAACGAAGGGTTTCTGAAATCTGGGGAGGGAAAGGGCAGATGGGAGGTTCCTTCTGTCTGTCCGTCTCTGTGTCACCTTTGGTCTCTCTGCCTTTTACTGATTGTGTTGCAAGATATTTTCTTTCTTGAACAGAGGAAAACAGAAAAATCACACAGAGAGAAGATATACCTCCCGTGAGAAGATCGCCAGCACTCTCTCTGCTTTTGCAAGTAAAGCACTTACTAATTAATTACTATACATGATAAAGTTTCAGTTAACCATGATGGGAGCAACCATAAGAATTGTGCCATCTGGGGACAGCACTAGCTGTGGGTACTGCTCTTCTTTCCTGCTCACTGTGCAGCCTATCTGTAGCTGTCTGCTCGGGACCCTGGAGATCCCACAGAACCTGGAAATCAGGATTGAGATCTGGACATGAAACAGAACCCAAAGGGTATGTCTTAGCAATAGACCCTCTGGTCCTTAACAAATACAGACATTTTGATCCTGGATGGCCACGTTGTGTGATGCCCATTTCTCCTAACAAGTCCCATATTTCCTGGGACGCCCATGCCCACCATGCAGGGCCTGGGTTGGGTCCAGGCCCCACTGGCCGTTGCAGCTTGCTGGGGACACACACTGGGAAGGCAGCAGGTGCTGCCTGAAGCACTTGGGATCCTGACCCAGAACCCGGAGGCCTGGATTCAGCTCCTGGTGCCCAGCTACAGCGTGGCCCAGCACTGGGGTTTTATAAATGTGGGGAGGGAACAGCACATGGAGATTTCTGTCTGTCTGTCCGTCTGTTTGTTTATCTCACTGTGTCACTCTCCTGCTGACATACTGCCCTCAAAGACGTCTTTCCTTTATTGGAACGGCAGAGAGAGGGAGACACAGAGCAGGAGGTAGTCCATTCTGGTCTCCCTGGGGTTGGCAGGGGCGCAAGTACTCCCACTGTCCTCCTCTGGCTTCCCAGGCACGTTAGCAGGGAGCTGCACGAGCAGCAGAGCAGCCTGCAGTGGAACCCTGGCTGCCAGGGCGCCTGCCCAGGCTGGAAGTGGCAGTTGAACACCCCGATCATGGGGCTAGCCTGCTCTCTGCCTTTTATGTGTGTTAATGAGTTCATTATATGTAATGTACAACTTTAGTGAAGATTTTATATGATTGGTATGGCAGTGGATACTGCGGGATTTGGGGACTGAACTAGCAGATAGAGGCATCCTCTGTTCTGTTCCTCTTCCTCTTTTTCTGACTCACTGTCTGCCTTTAAGATCAACAAGTCAGCCCTTTCTTAAGTTTTGACCATTACAATTGCTTATATTTGGATCCTACATTTATTGAAAGGCAGGGTTATAGAGGGCCATAAAGAAAGTGAGTGAGAGACACAGAGATAGAAATAGGTAGGTAGAGAGAGATCGATCTTCTTTGTGCCAGAGCTCTCCCCAGATGACGCAGTAGCCTGCTCATGGCCAGACTGAAGCCAGGATCCTGCAGGAGCATCCCGGTAACCCAAAGTTTGAGGGCTGGATTCCGAATGGACCAGGAAATCTGATTTCCCTAGCACATAATCTGGTAATTGGATGACAAGTTGAGCAGCCAGGATTTGAACCCGTGCTCACTGGGGATGCCTGGCCATAGCGCTGCCTGCTACTTACCCTGCTTGGCCACAGCTCTGCACCGCCCCCCGAAGCAGGACTGAGGAACGTGTGGCTGGGGGTGGACATGGGGACTGGCGGGTGTGACACTCCCTGTGATGCTCACACCCCACGTGGGAGGGCCTGGCGTCCAGTGCAGGCTCTGCTCCAGTTCTGACTCCTCCCAGACACACTGTGGGAGGCAGCAGGTGAAGGACAGGGGAACTCAGACCCTACCGTCCACGTGGGAGAGCCGGGATCAGAGAGCCCACACAGGGAGAGAAAGGACACCTCTCATTCTAAATTTGCTAGCACTCGCTTGATTTTGCAAGTAACTAACTTATGATTTAATTAAGTAATTAATTACTTTAGATTTTTAGTTTCAATATATCGTGTCAGGAGCAGCAGTGTGTCCTGTGGGCATTTTGGGACCAAACTAGCTGATGCAAGATTTCTCTTGTCTCTCTCTTCCTTGCTGTCTCAGTCCATCTGAGGCTGTCTGTGGTAAGCTGCCACAGAACCTGGTGACCTGGATTCGGATCTGGGACCTGGCTTCCACCTGGCCAATAGGCAGGTTTCTGAAATTTGAACAGGGGAAAAAAAAGAAATTTGAAGAGGGAAAGAGCAAATGGGAATTTTTTTGGTCTGTCTCTCAACCTGTGTCTCTCTGTATATTATTGATCTTTTGAAATACATTTTTAAAGATTTAGTTGTTTATTTGAAAAGTAGAGTTACAGAGAGAAGGAGAGACAGAAAAAGCTTCCATCTGCTTGTTCACTCCTCAGATGTCCACAGCTGCTATTGCTGCATCGATGTGAAGCCAGCACAGAGGAGCTCCCTCCAGGTATCCCACATGGGTGCAGGGACCCAAGCACGTGGACCATGTTCCTCTGGGTTGCCAGGCCATAAGCAGAGAGCTGGATCAGAAGAGGAACAGCCAGGATATGAACTTGTACCCATGTGGGAGGCTGGCTCCTCGGCAGAGGTTTAACCCACCATGTCACAGCACCGGCCCCAGAAGATAGTTTATTTCTAAGAAAGGCTGAGTGACACAGAGAGAAGCAGAGAGAGAGAGAGAGAGAGAGAGAGACCTCTCAACTGCTGGTTCATTCCCCCAGTGATCTCTAGGTCAAGTGAGAAGCCAGGAGTCGGGAACTGTGCTGCGTCTCTCCCAAGACAGTGGCCTAGACCCAAGGACTGGGGCCACATCCTCTGCCTTCCCAGCACATGAGCAGGGAGCTGCATCAGAACCTGAGCCACAGGTAATCGAGTCCCAGGTATGGATTCTCCCAGTTACAGGCCGGATCATCACAATCCGCTGACGTTTGCCAGCACTCTGTCTGCTTTTCCAGGTACCTATCCTACTAACTTTATTAATTACTATTGATCAGAAAGTTTTGTGTTACCATGACAGGAGCAGCAGTATCACAGGCATTTGGGGACTGAACCTGCTGATGGAGACCTCATTTCTTTCTGTCTTCCTCACTGTCTCAGTGTATCTGTAGCTGTTTTCAATGTGTGTTTCTCTTTATTTAAAATTTATTTATTGATTTGAAAGGCTGAGCTACAAAGAGGCATAGGCAGAGAGAGACAAAGAGAGAAGTCTTCTACCTAATGGTTCACTCCCCAAGTTGCCACAATGGCCAGACCTTTGGTGCAATGGCAGTAGCTGCATTGATCCAAAGCCAGGAGCCAGGAAATTCTTCCGGGTGTCCCGCGTGGGTGCTAGTGCCCAAGGACTTGGGCCATCTTCTACTGCTTTCCCAGGCCATAGCAGAGAGCTGGGCGAAAGTGTAGGAGCTGTAACTTGAATGGGCAGCCCTATGGAATGCCTCAATGCAGGAGGTGCCTTTATCTGCTATGCCATGGTGCCAGCCCCTGCATGTGCCTTTCAAATACAGACAGTTTTGATACTGAAAGGTCAAGTTGTGTGATGCATATAAACTTGGGCAGGGAAAGAAAAGGTGGGAGGATTCTGTCTGTTCATCTGACTATCTCCCTCTGTCTCTCTGCCTTTTATTGATTGTGTTGAGAGATTTTCTTTCTGTGAAAGGCAGAACAACACAGAAGCAGAGACAGAGAGACAGAGACAGAGACAGAGAGAAAGAGAGAGAGAGGTGTCTCATCTGCTGATTCATACCCTGAAATGTCAGAGTTTGGGTGTGGTGCTAGTGGGAAGCTAGCAGACAGAAACTGCACCGGGGTCTCTCCGGTGAGTGGCAATGTCCCAGGGATTTGGGCAACCTTCCTCTTTCTTCCCAGGCACGTTAGCTAGGAGCTGCATAGGATCCAGAGCACCAGGAATGCACCACTGTCATTTAAGGATTGTGGGAGTCACAAGCTGTGTCATCACTTTGACAAAGTTTGCCAACACCCTCTCTGCTTTCGCAGGTAACTAACCAATTAATTAATTAATTAATTACTATAGATCTTAAAGTTTCACTTTACTCTGACAGGAGCAGCAGTAAGTTTTGCGGGCACTGGGGACTGAAATAGCTGATGGAAGATCTGTTTTTTCCCTCTTCTCACTTTCTCACTCCTTCTGTAGCTTGGTGTCTGTGTGTGCCTTTCAAATACAATTTTGATCCTGGAAGATGAAATTCTGCGATATGCATTTGTTGCAACAGTTCTTCTGCTTCTTAGGGTACCAGTGTCCCACCTTATAGAGCCTGGGTTGAGGTCCAGACCCTACTGGCCATTCCAGCTTGTCGGGACACACCCTGCAGGAGGCAGCAGGTGATGGGTGAAGCCCTTGGGATCCTGACACAGACCTGGAGGCCTGAATTCAGCTCATGGTGCCAGGCTACATCATGGCCCAGTCCTGGGGGTTTTACAAAAGTGGGGCAGGAGACAGGAAATGGAGATTTTCGTCTGTCAGTCTGTTTATCTCACTGTGTCACCCTCCTGCTGACACACTGCCCTCAAAGGTTTCTTTCCTTAATTGGAAAGGCAGACTGACAGACAAGGGAGACGCAGAACAGGAAATGGTTCATCCTGGTCTCGCCAGGGTTGGTAAGAGCCCGATCACTAGGGCTGCCCTCCTCTGGCTTCCCAGGCACGTTAGCAGGGAGCTGCACGAGCAGCAGTGCAGCCGGCAGTGGGACCCTGGCGGCCAGGGCACCTGCCCAGGATGGAAGTGGAGGCTGAACACCCTGATCATGGGGCTAGCCTGCTCCCAGCCCTGTAAGTCGCTTAATGAGTACATTATATGTAATGCACACACTCTAGTGAAGATATTACATGATAGGGGTGGCAGTGGATACCACTAGGATTTGGGGACTGAAATAGCAGAGAGACATCTTCTGTACCGGTCCTCTGTCTCTTTGACTCACTGTCTCCTTTCACATCTAGAGATTAGCTTTTTCTTAAGTTTTGTTCATTATATTTGCTTATTTTTGGATCTTACATTTATGGAAAGACAGGTTTATGGAGGGCCAGAAAGTCCCAAAGTGAGTGAGAGACAGAGACAGACAGACAAACACACAAACACACACACACACACAGAGAGAGAGAGAGAGAGAAATCTTTTTTGTGCCAGAGCTCTCCCCAGATGACTGCACTTGCCTGGGCTGGGCCAGACTGAAGCCAGGATCCTGCAGGAGCTACCTGGTGACCCATGAGTTTGAGGGCTGGAGTCTGAGTGGACCAAGAAATCTGCCTCTGCTTTCCCAGGCAGCTATTCTGGGAGTTGGATGACAAGTTGAGCAGCCAGGACTTGAACCCATGCTCATTTCAGATGCATAAGCCAGGCCCCAGGACCTGAATCCTGGTCTGCAGGTTCTGTGGCAGGATCCCACTCAGACAGCTGCAGATGGACTGCGACAGTGAGCAGGAGAGAAGAGACCTTCCAGCAGCTAGTGCTGTCCCCAGACCCACAATTCTCATGTTTTTTCCCGTCATACTAAAGTGAAACTTTGCCATGTACAGAAATTAATTAATTCATTAGTAGGCAATTTACCTGCAAAAGCAGAGAGAATGCTGGCGATCTTCTCAGGGGAGGTGTATCCCTTCTCTCTCTGTCTGATTTCTCTGTTTTCCTCTGCTGTTCAAAGAAATGAAATACCTTTCAACACAATCAGTAAAAGGCAGCGAGACCAAAGGTGACACTGAGACAGGCAGACAGACAGACAGAAGGAAACCTCCCATCCTCTCTTTCCTTCCCCAGATTTCCAAAGCCCCTAGTCCTGGGTGAGACTGACTCCACAGCCCCCAGGAGCAGAATCCAGATGTCCCATGTGGTTACAGGGACCCAATTCCTCTGGCTGTCACCTGCCTCCTCCCACAGTGTGTCTGGACAGGAATTGGAACTGGAGGATACTGGACTGGAAGCCAGGCCCTCCCATGTGGAACATGGCCATCCCAGGAAGTAGCACACCTGTCAGAGCACGTGAGTGGCAGAGACCCACAGCCAACACCAGGTAGTACCAGTTTGGACTATGCCCTGCTCTGCTTCACTCTGTCACTCTGCCTTTGCAATTGAGGAAAGAAATTTTAATAGCACTGTGTCACCAGGAGAGGGACACTGAGACAGAAAGACCAACAGCAGATCCAATCTCTCATCTGCTACTTTCCTCTCCACATTTCTTGAAACATTAGTGCTGGGCTAGGCTGTAGCCAGGCACCAGAGGCTGACTCCAGGCCTCCAGAATCTGTGGCAGGATCCCAAGTGCTCCAACACTCACCCGCTGCCTTCTGCAGTATGCGTCCCCAGCAAGCTCTAATGGCTAGTAGAGCCTTCAACTCAACCCAGGCCCTGCAATGTAGGGACACGGGCACCAAGGTAATACTGAATACACTGGAAAAGATGCGCATAGCACAACTTCACCTTCCAGGATCAAAAAGATCTATAACTGAAAGAAACAGAAAGCAAATCTTTCAGATCTACATAATTAGTTAATAAATTAGTAGGCTAATACTCACAAAGCATAGAAAGAGTGCTGTTAACTTCATCAGAAAGCAATGACGCAGCTTGCAACTCTCACAATCCTTACAGAGACAGGGGCACATTCCAGTGCTCTGGTTCTCAGAGGCTCCATGTTAATGAGCCTGGGAAGAAAGAGGAATGTAGCTCAATTCCTTGGGAAACTGCTACTCATGTTGGAGAGATCCTGGTCAGGTCCTGTTCATAGCTTCCCACTGGGACCTCACCCAACCTCTGACCTTTCAGGGAATGAATCAGCAGATGAGACCGATCTCTCTCTCTCTCTCTCTCTCTCTCTCTGTCTCTGCTTATGTGTTGTTCTGCCTTTCACAGAAAGAAAATCTCTCAACACAATCAATAAAAGGCAGAGAGAGAGAGAGAGAGAGAGAGAGAGAGAAGACAGACAGATGAACAAACACCTCCCACCTGCTCATTCCCAGGCCAATTTCAGGAACACTTAGCTCTGGGCCAGGTTGAAGCCAGGCCCCAGGAGCTGACTCCAGGCCTCCAGGGTCTGTGGCAGGATCCCAAGTGCTTCAGCTGTCACCTGCTGCCTCCCTCAGTGTGTATCCCCAGCAAGCTGGAATTGCACGTGGGGCCTGGACCCCAACCCAGGCTCTGCAAGGTTGGAGATGGGCATCCCATGAAATATCAGGACGGTTGCTACAAATGTACATCACACAACTTGACCTTTCAGTATCAAAACTGTCTGAATTTAAAAGGCACACACAACGGCTGGCACCATGGTATAGCAAGTAAAGCCACTTACTGCACTGGGGCATCCCATATTGGTGCTGCTTCAAGTCATAGCTACTCCACTTCCAATCCCGCTCTCTGCTATGGCCTGGGAAAGCAGAAGATGGCCACCGTTGCTAGGCCCCTACAGCCATGTAAAACACCTGGAAGAAGTTCCTGGCTCCTGGTTTTGATCAATGCAGCTCCAGCCATTGTGCTGCAGCTCTGCACATTGTGGCCATTTGGGGAGTGAACCAATGGATGGAAGACTTCTCTTTTGTCTCTCTTCCTATGCCTCTTTGTAGCTCAGCCTTTCAAATCAATAAATAAATTTTAAATAAAGAGAAACACACATTGAAAACAGCTACAGATACACTGAGACAGTGAGGAAGACAGAAAGAAATGAGGTCTCCATCAGCAGGTTCAGTCCCCAAATGCCTGTGATACTGCTGCTCCTGTCATGGTAACACAAAACTTTCTGATCAATAGTAATTAATAAAGTTAGTAGGATAGGTACCTGGAAAAGCAGACAGAGTGCTGGCAAACGTCAGCGGATTGTGATGATCCGGCTTCTAACTGGGAGAATCCATACCTGGGACAGGACTCGATTACCTGCGGCTCAGGTTCTGATGCAGCTCCCTGCTCATGTGCTGGGAAGGCAGAGGATGTGGCCCCAGTCCCTGGGTCTAGGCCACTGTCTTGGGCGAGACCCGGCGCAGTTCCCGACTCCTGGCTTCTCACTTGACCTAGAGATCACTGGGGGAGTGAACCAGCAGTTGAGAGGTCTCTCTCTCTCAGTCTATGCTTCTCTCTGTGTCACTCGGCCTTCCAATGAAACTATCTTCTGGGGCCGGTGCTGTGACATGGTGGGTTAAACCTCTGCCGAGGAGCCAGCCTCCCACATGGGTACAAGTTCATATCCTGGCTGTTCCTCTTCTGATCCAGCTCTCTGCTTATGGCCTGGCAACCCAGAGGAACATGGCCCACGTGCTTGGGTCCCTGCACCCATGTGGGAGACCTGGAGGGGGCTCCTCTGTGCTGGCTTCACATCGATGCAGCAACAGCAGCTGTGGTCATCTGAGGAGTGAACAAGCAGACGGAAGCTTTTTCTGTCCCAAGCTCTCACTCTAACTCTACCATTCCCATTAGCAAATAAATCTTTAAAAAATGACTTTCAGCAGAATCAATAATATGCAGAGACATGGGGTGACAGACAGAAAAATGATTCCCATCTGCCCTTTCACTCCCCAAATTTCAGAAATACCTACCTACTGGGCCGGAGGAAGCCAGGCCCCAGATCTGAATCCAGGTCACCAGGTTCTGTGGCAACATCCCACACGCAGCCTCAGATGGACTGAGACAGACAGGAAGAGAGAGACAAGAGATTGCATCAGCTAGTGTGGTCCCAAATTGCCCACAGGACACACTGCTGCTCCTGACATGATATAGTGAAACTAAAAATCTCTCTAGATCTCTCTCTCTCTCTCTCTCCTTCTCCGTTTGTGACCTCTGGCCTTCCATTAGCCTGCCTTTCAAATAAATGTAGGAAGAAGCAAATATAAAGGTCAAATATTAAAATCAAATGCATAGCTTTTTTGATTTGAAATGCAGACATCAAGACAGACAACAAAGATGAAGAATGGAACAGAGGATGTCTCTATCTGCTATTTCAGTCCCCAAATCCCAGCAATATCTACTCCCCTCAATATCACATGAACGCTTCACTAGAAGTCACACATTGCATATAACTAATGAATTAAGTTGTCAACTCATTACAGACATAAAGGCCTGGGAGCAGGCTAGCCCCATGGTCAGGGTTTTCAGCTTCCACTTCCATCCTGGGCAGGTGCCCTGGCAGCCAGGGTCCCACTGCTGGCTGCTTTGCTTCTCATGCAGCTCCCTGCTAAAGTGCCTGGGAAGCCAGAGGAAAAGATCCCAGTACTAGGACCCCTGCCAACCCCAGGGCGACCAGGATGGACCATTTCCTTCTCTGTGTCTCTGTCTGTCTGTCAGTCTACTTGGGCCCCTGTACCCAGGTGGGAAACCCAGAAGAAACTCCTGGCCTCTGGTTATGCCTGACAGTCCCATTCATTACTATCATTTGCAGAGTCATCCAGTGGATGGAAGATCTCCGTCTTTCTCTCCTTTTCTGTCTGTAATTCTCTGCTTCATATAAATAAATAATTTTTAAAGTTTTTTTTCATTTATTTGAAAGATTTGGAGAGAGAGAGAGAGAGAGAGAGAGAGAGAGAGAGAAAGTCTTCCATCCATTGATTCACTCCTGAATGGCCACAATTGCTGGAGCTAAGCCGATCTGAAGCCAGGAGCCAAGCTTCTTATGGGTCTCCCACGTGCACATAGTGGGCCATGGATTTGGGCCATCCCGTGATGCTTTACCAGGTGCATAAGCAGAGTGGGGGTCAGAAGTGGAGCACCTGGGACTTGAACCGATGCTATATAGGATGCTGGCACTGCAGGACAGGGCTTTAACCCATCGTGCCACAGCACTGGCCCCTGAATAAATCTTTAAAAAGAAAAGAATAGAAAAGTACACAGAGCTCACTCAAGATGGACTGAATGAGCCAGGAAGACAGGGAGAAAAGTGATCTTCATTAGCTAATTCAATCTTCAAATCCTTATGATACACATAAGCTCCTGTTATGGTGATGCAAACCTTTAACATTCATATAATTTATTTATTAAATAATAGGTTAGTTACCTGTAAATGCTGCCAGCGTGGTGGCAACCTTAGGCAGAAAGAGAAGGTATAGCTTGCAACTCCCACAATGCATATCCGAGCAGTGGTGGATTCCCGGTGGATCAGTTTCAGATGCAGCTCCCTGCTAACACGCCCGCCTGGGAAGGCAGAGGAAGGTGGCCCAAGTCCACGGGCCCACACCTCAGGGAGGGAGAGACCTCAGTGCAGTTCCCTTCTCCTGGTTTCCCACTTGGCCCACACCCAGCCTCTGAGATCATTTGGGAAGTGAACCAGCAGATGAGAAGTCTGTTTCTCTGTCTCTGCTTCTCTGTGACACTCTGCTTTCACGGAAAGAAAAGATCTCTTAACACAATCAATAAAACACAGTGAGACTAAGTGTGACAGAAAGATGGACAGACAGAAAACTGCCATCTGCTCTTTCCTTCCCATGATTTCAGAAACACCTAGTTCTGGGCAGTGTAAGCCAGGCCCCAGGACCTAAATCCTGGTCTGCAGGTTCTGTGGCAGGATCCCACTCAGACAGCTGCAGATGGACTGCGACAGTGAGCAGGAGAGAAGAGACCTTCCAGCAGCTAGTGCTGTCCCCAGACCCGCAATTCTCATGGTTGCTTGTAATTAATTAATTATTGAAAATTTACCTGCAAAAGCAGAGAGAGGGATGGCAAACTTCGCAGGGGAGGTATACCTTCTCGCTGTGTGTCTGATTTCTCTGTTTTCCTCTGTTCAAAGAGAGAAACTATCTGTCGCTCCCCCTCTTCGCGGAGGAACGACACTAAACCCTGCGCTGTTCTTTTGTCTGCTCGGCCCTCCCCGGGTTTGCTGCTGGTTCTTCCTGGGTTGGCTGCCGATCCTTCCACCTCCGTGGAAGGGCGGCTCCCCCTACCACTTTCCCCACTTCCGTGGGGGAGCGGCACACCGCCGGCCGGCTCTCTCGGGGGCTGCTCAGATGTTATCCAGATGTTCCTGGTGCATGTTGTCTCTCTCCTCCTTTATAGTCCTCTTCCACCAATCCCAACTCTGCTACCCACATGCCGAGTACGCTGCCCTCCTCCAATCAGGAGCAGGATCAGCTCCTGCAGGTTATTGGTCGAACTGGAGGCAGCTGTGTAGAAGTTGTTTACTCCTCTCCCAGCGCCATATTGTGGGAGAGCAGATGCATAGAATAAGTCTTAATTCCAGTAACTTAGTCTAGTCCGAGTTGCTCCCCACACTATCTTTCAACACAATCAGTAAAAGGCAGTGAGACCAAAGGTGACACAGAGATGGACAGACAGACAGAAGGAAACCTCACATCTGCTCTTTCCCTCCCTAGATTTCAGAAACCCTAATTATGGGTGAGACTGACACCATGGCCCCCAGTAGCTGAATCCAGGTCTCCCATAAGGTGGCAGGGACAGAATTCCTCTGTTACCTGCTACTACCCAAAGTGTTTCGGGACAGGAATCAACTCTGGAGCAGAGCCTGGACTGAAAGCCAAGCCCTCCCATATGTGGTATGCCCTTCACAGGAAGTATCACACCTGCCAGAGCCCAGATCCCCCACCCCCAGCTGCATGTTCCTCCATCCTGCTTCTCTCGGCCAGAGCTGTGGTGAGGCAGGTGAATGAGAAACTGGTGCCCTAGCCAGGCAGCCCATTTGCACGTGGGTTTGAGTAACTGCTGCTCCACTGGCATACAGCTCACAGAGAACGCACCTGGAAATCAGCAGAGGACAACCAGGATCCCTGGCCTCCGTGACACCCTCAGTCAACACCTGATGGTCTTGTGGGCTCCTGGCTTCAGCCAAACCCAGCCCAGGCAACTGCAGGCAGCAGGGGAGGGCTCTGGCACATCAAAGATCGCTGTCCCTCTCCCACTTTGTGACCCTCTGGCTCTCAACAACCCTGCCTTTCAAACAGATGCAGGAATCTCAGAGGAAGAGCAAACAGACAAATATAATGGTCAAAATTAAAATCAATTTCTTATTTTGTTGGTTTGAATGGCAGAGAGAAAGACAGAGAGACAAGGAGAAACAGAAAGGGAAGCGGTCCTATGTGCTGGTTCAGTCCCTAAATCCCAGCAGTATGCATTCCCTCCCTATACGTGACAGCTCCACTGGAAGGCAGGTTTTACCTATCATTAACAAATTTAGTCAGTCATTAAGTGACAGAAAGGCTGGGAGCCGGCTAGCTCCGTGGCTGAGGGTGTTAACTCTCTGCTTCCAACCCGTGCATGAGCCGTAGGAGCTGGGGTTCCACTGCCGATGCTCTGCCTCTCATGCAGCTCCCTGCTAGCGTGCCTGGGAGGCAGAGGAAGACAGCCCAGTACTCAGGCTCCTGCCAACCCCAGGAATACCAGTTTGGACCACGTCTTGCTCTGTCTCCCTCGGTCACTCTACCTTTCCAATTAAGTAAAGAAACCTTAAGAAGCAGTATTTCACCAGGAGAGGGACATTGAGAGACAGAATGACCAACTGGGTCCAAGCCAGCTGATGAAACTTCCCTTTTATCTGTCTTCCTTGCAGTCCCAGTGCATCTGTAGCTCTCTATGTGTGCCTTTCCAACACAGATAATTTGCATCCTTGAAGATCAAGTTGTATAATGTGCATTTGTGGAAACAGGTCCTACCTTCAGAGATGAGGATGGGATCTAGGCTCCAGTGGCAATGCCAACTTGCTGGGGATGCACACTGCAGGAGGCAGCGGGGACAGTTGAAGCACCATCTTCTGCTCCCTTGTCACTCTGCCTTTCCAAATAAGGATAGAAATCTCAAAGTGGAACATGTCGCCAAGGGGGACACAGGGAGACACACCAACAGACAGGAATCTCCCATGGTCTGTGTTCCTTCCCACATCTCTGAGACCACTCGTGCTGGGCCAGGGTGTTGCCCGGTGCCAGGAGCTGACACCAGGCCTCCAGGTCTGTGTCAGGATCTCAAGGGCTTCACCCATCACCTGCTGCCTCCTGCAGGGTGTGTCCCGACAAGCTGGAATGGCCAGTAGGGTCTGGACCTCAATCCAGGCTCTATAAGGTGGGACGCTGGCACCCTAAGAAGCAGCAGAACTATTGAAACAAACACATATAGCACAATTTCACCTTTCAGGATCAAAATTGTATTTGAAAGGCACACACATCAAGCTACAGAAGGACTGAAACAGTGAGGAAGAGAGGGAAAAAACATCTTCCATCAGCTATTTCAGTCCCCAATGCCCACAAAACCTACTGCTGCTCCTGTCAGAGTAAAGTGAAACTTTAAGATCTATAGTAATTAATTAATTAATCAATAGGTTAATTATCTGCAAAAGCAGAGAGGGTGCTGGCAATCTTCCTCAGAAAGCAATGACGCAGCTTACAACTCCCACAATCCTTAACTGAGATGGGGTGCATTCCTGGTGCATGGTGCCCTTGCAGCTCCATGCTAAGTTACCTGGGAATAAAGAGGAAGGCGGCCCAAGTGGGACATTGCCATTCACATGGGAGAGTCCGTGGTACAATTTCTGTCTCCTAGCTGCCCACTGGACACCCCCCCGCCAAACCTCTGATCATTCAGTGAATGAATCAGCAGAGGAGACCTCTCTTTCTGTCTCTGCTGCTCTCTGTGTCCCTCTTGTCTTTCACAAAGAGAAAATCTCTCAACACAATCAATAAAAGGCAGAACGACAGAGGGAGACCAAAAGACCAACAGACAGAAACCTCCCACCTACTCAGTCCCAGCCCAATTTCAGCAACACTTAGCTCTGGGTCAGGTTGAAGCCAGGCCCCAGGAGCTGACTCCAGGCCTCCAGGGTCTGTGGCAGGATCCCAAGTGCTTCAGCTGTCACCTGCTGCCTCCCTCAGTGTGTATCCCAGCAAGCTGGAATTGCCCGTGGGGCCTGGACCCCAACCCAGGCTCTGCAAGGTTGGAGATGGGCATCCCATGAAATATCAGGACGGTTGCTACAAATGTACATCACACAACTTGACCTTTCAGTATCAAAACTGTCTGCATTTAAAAGGCACACCCAGGGGCTGGCACCGTGCCATAGGAGGTAAAGCTGCCACCTGCAGTGGGGCATCTCATATGGCTGCCAGTTCAAGTCACAGCTGCTCCACTTCCAATCCAGCTCTCCGTTATGGCCTGGGAAAGCAGTAGGAGATGGCCTCCATCCTTGGGCCCCTGCACCCACGTAAAACACCCAGAAGCAGTTCCTGCTTCCTGGCTTTGATCAATGCAGCTCCAGCCATTGTACTGCACCTCTGGTCATTGTGGCCATTTGGGGAGTGAACCATCGGATGTAAGACTTCAGATGTGAATCCAGGTCCTCAGGTTCTGTGGCAGCATCTCATGGATAGCTACAGATGGACTGAGACAGCGAGGAAGAGAGAGAGACAAGAGTGATCATGCATCAGCTAGTTTGGTCCCAAAATGCCCACAGGACCCACTGATCTCCTACATGGTAAAGTGAAACTTCAAGATCTGTAGTAATTAATTAATTAATTAATTCACAGGTTACTTACCTGCATCGGAGTGAGTGCAGGCAAACTTCGGATGAGAGGTGTCCTTTCTCTCTGTGTGTCAGCTTCTCTGATCCCAGCTCTCCCACGTGGACGGTAGGGATTAAGTTCCCCTGTCCTTCACCTGCTGCCTCGCACAGTGTGTCTGGGAGGAGTCAGAACTGGAGCAGAGCCTGCACTGGACGCCAGGCCCTCCCACGTGGGGTGTGAGCATCACAGGGAGTACCACACCCGCCAGTCCGCATGTCCACCCCCAGCCACCCGTTCCTCAGTCCTGCTTCTGGGGGCGGTGCAGAGCTGTGGCCAAGCAGGGTAAGCAGCAGGCAGCGCTATGGCCAGGCATCCCCAATAAGCACGGGTTCAAGACCTGACTGCTGAAACTTTCATCCAACTCCATGATTACCTTCTTGGGAAATCAGCAGCAGGTTTCCTGGTCTGCTTGGTCTGCACCCCTCAGACTCCTGGAAGAACTGGAAGCTTCTTCAGGATCCTGGCTTCGGTCTTCCCCAGGCCCGCCAACTGGGGCCATATGGGGAGTTCTCTGGCACGAAGAACATATTCTTTCTCCCTTCCCCCACCCCGACTTTTCTCTGCGACCTCTGGCCCTCCATAACCCTGCATTTCAAATAAATGTAGGAATCCAAAAATAAGCAACTATAACAGTCAAAAATTAAAATAAAATGTATAGCTTTGTTGATTTGAAAGGCACACATCAACACACAGAGAGATAAAGAATGGAACAGAGGATGTCTCTCTCTGCTATGTCAGTGCCCAAATCCCAGCCATATCCGCTCCCCTCATACCCAGTGAACACTTCACTAGAAATCACACATTATATACAATTAATGAATTAACTTGCTACTCCTAACCTGACATAGAGGGCTGGGAGCAGGCTAGTCCCATGGTCACGGTGCTCAGCCTCCACTTCCAGCCTGGGCAGGCGCCCCGGCAGTCAGGGTTCCACTGCAGGCTGCTCTGCTGCTCATACAGCTCCCTGCTAACGTGCCTGGGAAGCCAGAGGAGGACAGTGGGAGTACTTGCGCCCCTGCCAACCACAGGGAGACCAGAATGGACTACCTCCTGCTCTGTGTCTCCCTCTCTCTGTCTGCCGTTCCAATAAAGGAAAGACATCTTTGAGGGCAGTATGTCAGCAGGAGAGTGACACAGTGAGATAAACAGACAGACAGAAATCTCCATGTGCTGTTCCCTCCCCACATTTATAAAACCCCAGTGCTGGGCCAGGCTGTAGCTGGGCACCAGGAGCTGAATCCAGGCCTCCAGGTTCTGGGCCCGGATCCCAAGTGCTTCAGGCAGCACCTGCTGCCTTCCCAGTGTGTGTCCCCAGCAAGCTGCAATGGCCAGTGGGGCCTGGACCCCAACCCAGGGCCTGCATGGTGGGCATGGGCGTCCCAGGAAATATGGGACTTGTTAGGAGAAATGGGCATCACACAACGTGGCCATCCAGGATCAAAATGTCTGTATTTGTTAAGGACCAGAGGGTCTATTGCTAAGACATACCCTTTGGGTTCTGTTTCATGTCCAGATCTCAATCCTGATTTCCAGGTTCTGTGGGATCTCCAAGGTCCCAAGCAGACAGCTACAGATGGGCTGCACAGTGAGCAGGAAAGAAGAGCAGTACCCACAGCTAGTGCTGTCCCCAGATGGCACAATTCTTATGGTTGCTCCCATCATGGTTAACTGAAACTTTATCATCTATAGTAATTAATTAATTAATTAATTAGTAGGTGCTTTACCTGCAAAAGCAGAGAGAGTGCTGGACAACTTCACAGGGGAGGTATATCTTCTCTCTGTGTGATTTTTCTGTTTTCCTCTGTTCAAGAAAGAAAATATCTTTCGACACACTCAGTAAAAGGCAGAGGGACCAAAGGTGACACAGAGACGGACAGACAGAAGGAACCTCCCATCTGCCCTTTCGCTCCCCAGATTTCAGAAACCCTTCGTTCTGGGTGAGACTGAGGCCATGGTCCCCAGGAGCTGAACCCAGGTCTCCCATGTGGATCGCCCCAGTTCCTTTGCTACCGCCTGCCACATGAGAGAGGCCGCAGAGCAGTTTCCCCTCTTGCTTCCCACTGGAACCAAACCCAGCCTCTGATGCCATTTTTGAGTGGCCCATGGGTAAGATATTTCTTTCTGTCTCTGCTTCTCTAGTGTCACTCTGCCTTTTAAAGGAGGAAAAGATCTCCCAGGCAAAGAGGGAGAGAGTGACAAACGCAAGGACAGACAGACAGACAGAAAACTCCCATGTGCTCTTCCCTGCTAAAATACAGAAACACCTAGTTCAGGCCAGCTGGGAACCATGCTCCAGCAGTAGACTCCAGGCCTCTAGGTTCTCAGGGGGATCCCAGGTGCTCCCACTGTCACCTGCTGCCTCCCTCAGTGTGTATGCCCTGAACCTGGCATTGCCAGTGCAGCATGGACCTCAACCTAGGCTCTGCAAGGCTGTCAGGGGCATCCCCAGAAATGTCAGATCTGTCGCATGAAATGTACATTCTACAACTTGCCTTTCCAAGACCAAAACGGTCTGGAATTGCAAGACACACACAGAGAGAACTACAGATGGAATGAGTCAGTAAATAAGAGACAAAGAGACCTTCGTCAACAACTTTGGTCCCCAAATGCCCATAATATCCAGGGCTGCTCCTGTCATGGTAACACAAATCTCTATGATCTATAGTAACTGATTAATTTATAGGAGAGTTACCAAGGAGAGGTAGAGACAGGGCTGGCAAAATTTGGCAGAAAGCGATGATATGGCTTGTTACTGCGACAATCCATACCTGAGGGAGGTTCAATTACCTGTGGCTCAGATTCTGATGCAGCTCCCTGCTCATATGCCTGGGAAGGCTGATGAAGGTGGCCCCAGTCTGGGCATCTACGTCACTCTCTTGAGAGAGACCCAAGTGCAGTTCACCACTCCTGGCTTCCCATGGGGTACCACTCAGCCTCTGAGACCCTTACAGGAGTGAACCGGCAGATGAGCGGTCTCTGTCTCTGCTTCTCTCTACATCACTCTGCCATTCACAGAAAGAAAATATTTTTTAACACAATAAGCAAATGGCAGACATGATATAGCGAAACTTAAAATCTAAAGTAATTAATGAGTGAATTAATTAATTCAGAGGTTACTTACCTGCATAAGAGCAAGTGCTGGCAAACTTGGGATGAGAGGTGTCCTTTCTCTCCCTGTGTCTGCTTCTCTGATCCCAGCTCTCCCACGTGGACGGTAGGGTCTGAGTTCCCCTGTCCTTCACCTGCTGCCTCGCACAGTGTGTCTGGGAGGAGTCAGAACTGGAGCAGAGCCTGCACTGGACGCCAGGCCCTCCCACGTGGGGTGTGAGCATCACAGGGAGTGTCACACCCACCAGTCCCCATGTCCACCACCAGCCACACGTTCCTCAGTCCTGCTTCTGGGGGCGGTGCATAGCTGTGGCCAAGCAGGCAGCACTATGGCCAGGCATCCCCAGTGAGCATGGGTTCAAGTCCTGGCTGCTCCAATTTTCATCCAACTCCCAGATTACCTGCCTGGGAAAGCAGAGGCAGATTTCTTGGTCCTCAAACTCATGGGTCACCAGGTAGCTCCTGCAGGATCCTGGCTTCAGTCTGGCCCAGCCCAGGCAAGTGCAGTCATCTGGGGAGAGCTCTGGCACAAAGAAGATCTCTCGTTCTCGCTCCTTCTCTCTACCTATCTCTGTCTCTTGTTCTCTCACTCACTTTCTGACTTTCTGGGCCTCCATAACCCTACCTTGTAAATACATGTTGGAATCCAAAAATCAGCAAGTATAATGGTAAAAATTTAGAGAAAACACTAACTCTGCTCATTTGCAAGGCAGAGAGCAAGCCAAAGAAGAGGAGGAACAGAGCAAGGATGTCTCCGCTGTTTCAGTCCCCAAATCCCACCAATATCTACTGCCCTCCCTATCATGCAATATCTTCACTAGAGGCTGTACATTACATATAATGGACTCATTAATGGACATACAGGGCTGGGAGCAGGCTAGCCCCATGGCTCAGGGTGTTCAGCCTCCACTTCCATCCTGGGCAGGTGCCCTGGCCGCCAGGGTTCCACTTCATGGGTTCTCATGCAGTTCCCTGCTAATGTGCCTGAGAAGGCCGAGGAAGACAGTCCAGTACTCGGGCTACTGCCCACCCCAGGGACTACCAGTTTGGACCGTCTCCTGCTCTGCTAGCCCTCTGTCTGTCTGTCTGCCTTTCCAATTAGGGAAGGAAATGTTTGAGGACACCAGGTCAGCAGGAGTGTGACGCAGTGAGATAATCAGACTGACAGTTGGATGAAAATCTCTATCTGCTGTTTCCCTCCCCACATTTTTCATAGTTTTATTTTTTAAAGATTTATTTGAGATTCAGAGTTAAACAGAGAGAGGAAAGAGAGAAAGAGAGCGAGAGAGAGAGAAAGAGAGAGGTCTCACATCCTCTGGTTCACTCCCCAATTGTCCGCAATGGCTGGAGCTGGGCTGATTGGTAGCCAGGAGCCGCGGTCTTCTTCCACTTCTCCCACGTGAGTGCGGGGGCACAAGGACTTGGGCCATCTTCTGCTGCTTTCCCAGGCCAGAGCAGAGAGCCGGATTGGAAGAGGGGCAGCCGGGACTAGAACCGGCACCTATATGGGATGCCAGCAATGCAGGTGGAGAATTAACCTACTGCACCAAGGCGCCGGCCCCTCTCCTTATCTTTTTAAAGATTTATTCAGGGGCCAGTGCTGTGGCACAATGTGTTAAAGCCCTGGCCTGCAGTGCTGGCATCCCATGTAGTGCTGCTTCAAGTCCTGGTGCTCCATTTCTGACCCGCTCCCTTCTTATATACCTGAGAAAGCAGCATGGGATAGCCCAAATCGTGGCCCACTGTATGCACTTGGGAGACCCGGAAGAAGCTTTGGCTCCTGGCTTCGGATCTTCTTAGCTCTGGCAATTGCAGCCATTAGGGATGAACCAAAGGATGAAAGATCTCTCTCTCTCTCTCTCTGTCTCTGTCTCTCTCTCTCTCTCTCTCTCTCCAAAGGTGACACAGAGACAGACAGACAGAAGGAAACCTCCCATCTGCTTTTTCCTTTCCCAGATTTCAGAAAACCCTAGTTCTGGGCGAGACTGACTCCATGGCCCCCAGGAGCAGAATCCTCATCTCCCATGCAGGTGATAGGGACCCAATTCCTCTGGCTCTCACCTGCTGCTCCCAGAGTGTGTCTGGACAAGCACTGGAATTTCAGCAGTGCCTGGACTGGAAGCCAGGCCCTCCCATAAGTGGTGTGCCCATCACAGGAAATATCACACTAGCCAGAGCCCATGTCCACCCCCCAGCTCATGGTCCTCCATCCTGCTTATGGAAGCCAGAGTCGGGTTGAGGCAGGTCAATGAGAAACTGGCACCATGGCTAGGCAGCCCATTTATGCATGTGTTTGAGTAATAGCTGTACCACTCGACATCAGGCTCACAGAGAATGCACCTGGAAGTCAGTTGAAGGGTCTGGATCCCAGGGCTGCCTGGCTCTCTCATTCGACACCAGGATGGATGGTCTTGTGGGCTCCTGGCTTCAGCCAAATGCAGCCCAGGCAACTGCAGGCAGCTGGGGAGGGCTCTGGCACATCAAAGATCGCTGTCCCTCTCCCACTTTGTGACCCTCTGGCTCTCAACAACCCCCCCTTTCAAACGGATGCAGGAATCTCAGAGGAAGAGCAAACAGACAAATATAATGGTCAAAATTTCAATACGGTGCAGAATTTTGTTGGATAGAATGGGAGACAGACAGACAGACAAGGAAAACCAAACAGAGGCGGTCCTATGTGCTGGTTCAGTCCCCAAATCCCAGCAGTACGCACACCCTCCCATTATGTGACAGCTCCACTGGAATGCATTTTTACTCACGATTAATGGATTTATTCAGCAATTAAGTGATGTAAGGCTGGGAGCCCACTAGCTCCGTGGCATGAGCCGTAGGAGCTGGGGTTCCACTGCCGATGCTCTGCCTCTCATGCAGCTCCCTGCTAACACGCCTGGGAGATAGAGGAAGACAGCGCAGGTACTCCGGCCCCCTGCCAACCACAGGGAATTCCGCTTTGGACCATGTCATGGCTGTCTCCCTCTGTCTGTCACTCTGCCTTTGCAGTTAACGACAGGAATTTTAATAGCACTGTGTCACCAGGAGAGGGACACTGAGACAGAAAGTCCAACAGGCAGACTGAGACCTCCCATCCACTATTTCCCTCCCCACATTTCACAAAACACTAGTGCTGGACTAGGCTGTAGCTGGACACCAGGAGCTGACTGCAGACCTCCAGGGTGTGTGGCAGGATCCCAAGTGCTTCAACCCTCACCTGCTGCCTGCTGCAGTCTGTGTCCCCAGCAAGCTGGAATGGCCAGTGGGGGCTGCACCTCAGCCCAGGTTCCGCAAGTTCGGACACGGGCACCCTAGGGAATGTTGCACCTGTTGGAAAAGATGGACATTGCACAACGTAAGCTTCCAGGAGCAAAATTATCTGTAACTGAAAGACACAGACAGGTAGCTATGGATTGTCATAGACAGCAAGGAAGAGAGAGAGAAAACAGAACTTTCATTAGCTAGTTCAGTCCGCAAATGCCCACAATACCTACTGCTGCTCTTGTCAAAGTAAAGTGACACTAAAGGTCTGCAGTAATAAATAAATAGATTAAAGGTTATTTACTTACAAAGCATAGAGGGTGCTGGCCAACTTCGGCAGAAAGCAGTGATGCAGCTCACAACTCCCGCACTCCATATCTGAGGCAGCTAGGATTCCTGGTGCTCCTGTTCCCGTGCAGCCCCCTGCTAACGTTCCTGGGAAGGCAGAGGTTGGAAGCCCAAGCCTAGGGACACCACCACTCATGTTGGAGAGACCCCGGTGCAGTTCCCGTCTCCTAGCTTCCCACTGGGGCACCGTAGGATCTCTGCTCAGTTGCAGTATGAACCAGTGGATGTGAGCGCTCTCTCTCTCTCTCTCCCCCCCCCCCTTCTCTCTGTCACTCTACCTTTCAAAGAAAGAAAATACCTTTTAACACAATCAAGAAAAGCAAACAGACTGTGAGTGCCAGACAGGCTGACAGACAGAAATCTCCCAAACTTCGGAAACATCTAATTCGGGCTCTGGTTTAAGCCAGGTGCCAGGGGCCGACTCCAGGACCCCAGCGTCTGTGTCACACGATCCCAAGTGCTTCAGTCCTTGCTTGCTACCTCCCACAGTGTATATGTCCAGCAGGCTGGCACTGCTACTGGTGCCTGGACACCTCCCCAGGCTCTGAAAAGGGGGACGTGCCACCACAAGAAATGTCCAACCTATTTCCACAAATGCATATCGCACAACTTGATCTTCGAGGATCGAAATGATCGCCCGTGTCGCCCCGTCCTTCTTCCTGGTGGGTCCTGCCTGCGTGGGACATCTGGAAGAAGCTCCTGGCTCTTTGGCTTTTGGGGAGTGAACCAGCAGATGGAAGGCCTTTCTCTCTGTCCCTCCCTCTCACTCTGTAACTCTACCTCTTAAATAAATAAATAAAATCTTAACAAAATGATCTGTGTTGGAAGGGCACACATAGAGAGCTACAGATACACTGAGACTGCAAGGAAGAGGGAGAGAAAAGGGAACTCTCATCAGCTGGCTTGGTCCCTAAAAGCCTACAATACGCATTGCTGTTCCTGTTATGGTGACGTGAAATATTAACACCTATAGTAATCAATCAACCAATATGTTTGTCACCTGCTGAAGCCAGGAGAATAGTGGCAAACTTGGCAGAAAGCGATTACGCAGCTTGCAACTCCCGAAATCCGTATCTGAGGCAGGATGGGTCCCAGCTGATTCGGTTCTGTGCATCTCCTTAAATTGTGCCTGGGAAGGCAGAGGAAGGCGGTCGCAGTACTGGCTTCTACACCACTCTCGTGGGAGAGACCCAGGTCACTCCCGTCTCCTGGTTTCCCACTGGGGCACCACTCAGCCTCTGAGATGCTTTCAGGAGTGAGCCGGCAGATGAGCGGTCTCTGTCTCTCTCTGTCTCTGCTTCTGTCTGCGTCACTCTGCCATTCACAGAAAGAAAACATTTTTCAACACAATAAGCAAAAGGCAAAGAGACACAGGTTGACAAACAGAAAACCCCCATCTGCTCTTTCCCTCCCAGATTTCAGAAATACTTACCTACTGGGCAGGAGGAAGCCAGGCCCCAGATCTGAATCCAGGTCACCAGGTTCTGTGGCAGCGTCTCATGGACAGCTACAGATGGACTGAGACAGTGACGAAGAGAGAGACAAGACGGATCTTGCATCAGCTAGTGTGGTCCCAAAATGCCCACAGGACCCGCTGCTGCTCCAGACATGATATAGCGAACTTTAATATCCATAGTAAATAATCCGTTAATTAATTAATTCACAGGTTAGTTACCTGGAAAATGAGAGTGAGTGCTGGCAAACTTGGGATGAGATGTGTCCTTTCTCTCTCTGTGTGGGCTCTCTGATCCTGGCTCTCCCACGTGGACGGTAGGGACTGAGTTCCCCTGTCCTTCACCTGCTGCCTCCCACAGTGTGTCTGGGAGGAGTCAGAACTGGAGCAGAGCCTGCACTGGACGCCAGGCCCTCCCACGTGGGGTGTGAGCATCACAGGGAGTGTCACACCCGCCAGTCCCCATGTCCACCCCCAGCCACCCGTTCCTCAGTCCCGCTTCGGGGGGCGGTGCAGAGCTGTGGCCAAGCAGGGTAAGCAGCAGGCCATGTTGTGGCCAGGCATCCCAAATATGCATGGGTTCAAGTCCTGGCTGCTCCAATTTTCATCCAACTCCCAGATTACCTGCCTGGGAAAGCAGAGGCAGATTTCTTGGTCCACGCGGACTCCAGCCCTCCAACTCCTGGGTTACCCGGAAGCCTCTGTAGGATCCTGGCTTCAGTTTGGCCCAGTGAGGCTACTGCAGCCATCTGGGGAGTGCCCTGGCACAAAGAACATTCTCTCTCTCTCTCTCTCTCTCTCTCTCTGTCTGTCTTTCCTTCTCAGTTTGCGACCTCTGGCCCTCCATAATCCTGAATTACAAATAAATGTACGAATCCAAAAATAAGCAACTATAACAGTCAAAATTTAAAATAAAATGTATATCATTGCTGATTTGAAAGGCACACATCAACACACACAGAGCTAAAGCATGGAACAGAGGATGTCTCTATCTGGTATGTCAGTGCCCAAATCCCAGCCATATCCGCTCCCCTCAATATCATGGGAAAGCTTCACTAGAAGTCACACATTGCGTATAATTAATGAAGTAACTCGCTAACTCATTAACAGACATAAAAAGCTGGGAGCTGGCTAGCCACAAGGCTCAGGGTGTTCAGCCTGCACTCCCATCCTGGGTATGCGCCCTGCTAGCCAGGATCCCCATGCTACCTGCTCTGATTCTCATGCAGCTCCCTGCTAGAGTGCCTGGGATGGTAGAGGAAGACAGCCTGAGTAATCAGGTCCTTGCCAACCCCAGGAAGGACCAGTTTGGCTCATCTCCTGCTCTGTGTCTCTCTCTCTCTGTCAGTCTGCCTGGGCCCCTGCACACATGTGAGAGACCCAGAAGAAACTCTTGGCTCCAGGTTATGCCCGACAGTCCCATTCATTACTATCATTGGCAGAGTCATCCAGTGGATGGAAGATCTTTCTCTCTCTCTCATTTTCTGTCTGTAATTCTCTGCTTCATATAAATAAATAATTTTTAGAGATTTATTTTAAATATTTGCACAGAGAGGAAGAGAGAGAGAGAGAGAGAGAGAGAAAGAGAGAGAGGTCTTCCATCTGTTGGTTCACTCCCCAGTGGCCGCAATTGCCGGAGCTAAGCAGATCCAAAACCAGAAGCTAAAGCTTCTTCTGGGTCTCCCACGTGCATGCAGTGGGCCATGGATTTGGGCCATCTTGTGCTGTGTTTTTTTTTTTTTTTTTTGACAGGCAGAGTGGACAGTGAGAGAGAGAGACAGAGAGAAAGGTCTTCCTTTGCCGTTGGTTCACCCTCCAATGGCTGCCGCAGTCGGCACGCTGCGGCCGGCGCACCGCGCTGATCCGATGGCAGGAGCCAGGAGCCAGGTGCTTTTCCTGGTCTCCCATGGGGTGCAGGGCCCAAGCACCTGGGCCATCCTCCACTGCACTCCCTGGCCACAGCAGAGGGCTGGCCTGGAAGAGGGGCAACCGGGACAGAATCCGGCGCCCCGACCGGGACTAGAACCCGGTGTGCCGGCGCCGCTAGGCGGAGGATTAGCCTATTGAGCCACGGCGCCGGCCAATGTGCTGTTTTACCAGATCCATATGCAGGATGGGGGTCAGAAGTGGAGCACCCGGGATGTGAACCGATGCTATATGGGATGCTGGCACTGCACACTAGGGCTTTAATACATTGTGCCACAGCACTGGCCCCTGAATAAATCTTTAGAAAGATAAGGAGAGGGGCCGGCGCCTTGGCGCAGTAGGTTAATTCTCCACCTGCATTGCTGGCATCCCATATGGGCACCAGTTCTCGTCCTGGCTTCCCCCTCTTCCAATCTAGCTCTCTTTTATGGCCTGGGAAAGCAGTAGAAGATGGCCCAAGTCCTTGGTCCCCTGTATCTGCATAGGAGACCCAGAAGAAACTCCTGGCTCCTGGCTTCGGATCAGCGCAGCTCCGGCCATTGTGGCCTTTGGGGAGTGAACCTACGGAAGCAAGACCTTTTTGTCTCTCCCTTTCTATGTCTGTAACTCTACATTTCAAATAGTTTAATAAATAAAATCTTTTTTAAAAAGGTAAGGAGAATATAAAAGCAGACACAGCTATCTCCAGGTGGACTGAGAGAGCATGAAAGAGAGCGAGAAATGAATTCTTCATTAGCTAGTACAGTCTCCAATTTCCACAATGCACCATGATACTCCTGTCATAGAAATGCAAAACCTTGAGATCTGTAGTGCCGGCGCCGCGGCTCACTAGGCTAATCCTCCGCCTTGCGGCGCCAGCACACCGGGTTCTAGTCCTGGTCCGGGCACCGGATTCTGTCCCGGTTGCCCCTCTTCCAGGCCAGCTTTCTGCTGTGGCCCGGGAGTGCAGTGGAGGATGGCCCAAGTGCTTGGGCCCTGCACCCCATGGGAGACCAGGAGAAGTACCTGGCTCCTGCCATCGGATCAGCGTGGTGTGCCAGCCACAGTGCGCTGGCCGCGGCGGCCATTGGAGGGTGAACCAAGGGCAAAGGAAGACCTTTCTCTCTGTCTCTCTCTCTCTCACTGTCCACTCTGCCTGTCAAAAAAAAAAAAAAGATCTGTAGTAATTTATTTATCAACTAATAGCTTGGTTACCTGTGATAGTGCACAGAGTGCAGGAAAACTTCAGCAGAAAGCTTTGGTGCAGCTTACAACTCCCACAACGTATATCTGAGCAGGGGAGGATTCCCCAGGAGATCAGGTTCTGGATGCAGCTCCCTGCTAGCATGCCTGAGAAGGCAGAGGAAGGTGGCCCAAGTCCACAGGCCCACACAACAGGGAGGGAGACCTCAGTGAAGTTCCCTTCTCCTGGTTTCCCATTTGGCCCACACCCAGCCTCTGAGATCATCTGGGAAGTGAACCAGCAGATGAGAAGTCTCTATCTCTGTCTCTGCTTCTCTGTGACACTCTGCCTTTCACAGAAATAAAAGATCTCTCAACACAATCAATAAACGCCAGAGAAACTAAGGGTGATGGACAGATGGACAGACAAAAACTGCCATCTGCTATTTCCCTCCGCAGTTGTTGGGAAAACCTAGTTCTAAGCCAGGCAGAAGCCAGGCCCAGTATCTGAATCCTGGTCTGCAGGTTCTCTGGCGGGATCCCACATGGACTGCTATAGATGGACTCTGACAGTGTGCAAGAGAGAAGAGCTCTTCCATTTGCTAGTGCTGTCCCCAAATGACGCAATCCTCATGGTTCCTTACTAGTTAATTAATTAATTAGCAGATAATTTACCTGCAAAAACAGAGAGGGTGCTGGAGAACTTCAGTGGGGAGGTATATCTTCTCTCTCTGTGTCTGATTTCTGTTTTCCTCTGCTGTTCAAAGAAAGAAAATATCTTTCGACACAATCAGTAAAAGGCAGCGAGACCAAAGGTGACACAGAGATGGACAGACAGAAGGAACCTCCCATCTGCTCTTTCCCTCCCCAGATTTCAGAAACCCTTCATTCTGGGTGAGACTGAGGCCATGGTCCCCAGGAGCTGAACCTAGGTCTCCCATGCAGGTGGCAGGGACCCAATTCCTCTGGCTGTCATCTGCTACCTCCCATGGTGTGTCTGGACAAGCATTGGAACTTCAGCAGAGCCCGGACTAGAAGCCAGGCCCTCCCATAAGTGGTGTGCCCATCACAGGAAGCATCACCAGTCAGAGCCCAGGTCTTCCCCCCGGCTCATGTTCCTCTGTCCTGCTTATGGCAGCCAGAGTCGTGGTGAGGCAAGTTATAGAGAAACTGGCGCCATGGCCAGGCAGCACATTCGAACATGGGTTTGAGTAACAACTGCTCCATTCAGCTTAGAGCTCACAGAGAATGCACATGAAATCAGCAGAGGATGGCCTGGAACCCTGGGCTCTGCGACACCGTCATGGGACATCCAGGTGGCCTGGTGGGCTCCTGACTTCAGGTGACTCAAGGCCTCCAGGGTCCGTGACAGGATCCCAAGTCCTTCAACCATCACCTACTGCCTCCCACAGTGTGCGTCCCCAGCAAGCTTGAAATGCAAGTGGGGCCTGGACGCCAACCCAGGCGCTGCAAAGTGGGACATGGGAATCTGAAGAAATAGGAGACCTGTTGCCACAAATGTGCTTCGCACTACTTGATCTTCTAGCATCAAAGCTGTCTGTATCTGAAAGGCACACACAGGGACTGGCACTGTGGTGTAGCGGGTAAAGCCACTACCTGCATTCGGCCATCCCATATGGGTGCCGGTTCAAGTCTCAGCTGCTGCACTTACGATCTAGCTATCTGCTATGGCCTGGGAAAGCAGTAGATGATGGCCCAAGTCCTTGGGCCCTTGTACCCTCATGGGACACTGGCACAGTTCCCGACTCCTGGCTTCTCACTTGACCTAGAGATCACTGGGGGAGTGAACCAGCAGTTGAGAGGTCTCTCTCTCTCAGTCTATGCTTCTCTCTGTGTCACTCGGCCTTCCAATGAAACTATCTTCTGGGGCCGGTGCTGTGACATGGTGGGTTAAACCTCTGCCGAGGAGCCAGCCTCCCACATGGGTGCCAGTTCATGTCCTGGCTGCTCCTCTTCTGATCCAGCTCTCTGCTTATGGCCTGTCAACCCAGAGGAACATGGCCCACGTGCATGGGTCCCTGCACCCATGTGGGATACCTGGAGGAAGCTCCTCTGTGCTGGCTTCACATCGATGCAGCAACAGCAGCTGTGGTCATCTGAGGAGTGAACAAGCAGATGGAAGCTTTTTCTGTCCCAAGCTCTTACTCTAACTCTACCATTCCCGTTAGCAAATAAATTTTAAGAAGTGAATTTGAACAGAATCAATAATATGCAGAGACATGGGGTGACAGACTGAAAAATGATTCCCATCTGCTCTTCCCCTCCCCAAATTTCAGAATTACCTACCTACTGGGCCAGAGGAAGCCAGGCCCCAGATCTGAATCCAGGTCACCAGGTTCTCTGGCAAGATCCCACAACAGGAACAATGGACTGAGATAGACAGGAAGAGAGAGACAAGAGATTGCATCAGCTAGTTTGGTCCCAAAATGCCCACAGGACCCACTGCTCCTGAGATATACTAAGGCAAAACTTTAAGATCTACAGTAAATAATTAGTTAATTAATTAATTAATTAATTCACAGGTTAGTTACCTGGAAAATGAGAGTGAGTGCTGGCAAACTTGGGATGAGAGGTGTCCTTTCTCTCTCTGTGTGGGCTCTCTGATCCCAGCTCTCCCACATGGACGGTAGGGACTGAGTTCCCCTGTCCTTCACCTGCTGCCTCCCACAGTGTGTCTGGGAGGAGTCAGAACTGGAGCAGAGCCTGCACTGGACGCCAGGCCCTCCCACGTGGGGTGTGAGCATCACAGGGAGTGTCACACCCACCAGTCCCCATGTCCACCCCCAGCTCATGGTCCCCCGTCCAGCTTCTGGTGCCCAGACTCATGGTGAGGCAGGTGAATGAGACACTGGTGCCCTAGCCAGGCAGCCCATTTGCACGTGGGTTTGAGTAACTGCTGCTCCACTGGCATACAGCTCACAGAGAATGCACCTGGAAATCAGCAGAGGACAACCAGGATCCCTGGACTCCGTGACACCCTCAGTCAACACCTGATGGTCTTGTGGGCTCCTGGCTTCAGCCAAACTCAGCCCAGGCAACTGCAGACAGCTGGGGAGGGTTCTGGCACATCGAAGATCGCTGAACCTCTCCCACTTTGTGACCCTCTGGCTCTCAAACCCTGCCTTTTGAATGGATGCAGGAATCTCAGAGGAGGAGCAAACAGACAAATATTATGGTCAAAATTTCAATACAGTGTGTAATTTTGTTAGTTAGAATGGCAGACAGATAGCCAAGGAGAACCAGAAAGGGACGCAGTCCTATGTGCTGGTTCAGTCCCCCAATCCCAGCAGTATGCATTCCCTCCCTATACGTGACAGCTCCACTGGAAGGCAGGTTTTACCAACAATCAATGAATTTATTCATTATGAATTGACGTAAGGCTGGGAGCTGGCTAGCTCCGTGGCTGAGGGTGTTAAGTCTCTGCTTCCAACCTGGGCATAGACACAGGAGCTGGGGTTCCACTGCCGATGCTCTGCCTCTCATGCAGCTCCCTGCTAGCGTGCCTGGGAAACAAGAAGCAGACAGCCCAAGTACTCAGGCCCTTGCCAACCACAGGGAATACCACTTTGGACCATGTCTGTCTCCCTCTGTCTATCACTCTGCCTTTCCAATTAATGAAAGAAATCTTAAGGAGCACTATGTCACCAGGAGAGGGACACAGAGACAGAAATACCAACAGGCAGATCCAATTCCCATCTGCTATTTCCCTCCCACATTTCTCAAAACACTAGTGCTGGACTAGGCTGTAGACGGGCCCCAGAATTTGACTGCAGGCCTCCAGGGTGTGTGGCAGGATCCCAAGTGCTTCAACCCTCACCTGCTGCCTGCTGCAGTCTGTGTCCCCAGCAAGCTGGAATGCCCAGTGGGGGCTGCGCCTCAACCGAGGCTCTGCAAGCTGGGACACAGGCACCCTCGTGAATGTCAGACCTATTGCAAAAGATGCACATTGCTGAAGTTGACCTTCCAGGATCAAAAAGATCCGTAACTGAAAGAAACAACCAGGTAGCTATGGTTTGTCGGAGACAGCGAGGAAGAGAGAGAGAAAACAGAACTTAAATCAGTACATTCCCCATATACCTGCAATACCTATTCCTGCTCCAACTTAGCAAAGCGAATATTTAAGATTTACAGTAATTAATTAATAAATTTATAAGTTAATTACTCACAAAGCATAGAAAGGGTGCTGGCCAACTTCATCCGAATGCAATGATGCAGCTTGTAACACCCGGAACCCTTAACTGAGACATTGGTGCAATTCCTGGTGCTTGGGTTCCCATGCAGCTCCATGTTAACGTGCCTGGGAAGAAAGAGGAAGGCGGTCCAACTCCTTGGGACACTGCCACTTACGTGGAAGAGACCAAGGTGCAGTTTCTGTCTCTTGGCTTCCCACTGAGACCACACCCAAGATCTGATCATTTGGTGAATAAATAAGCAGATGAGACCTCTCTTTCTCTCTGTCTCTGCTTCTCTCTGTGTACCTTCTTTAACAGAAAGAAAATCTCTCAACACAATCAACAAAAGGCAGAGAGAACAGACAGAAAACTTCCATCTGCTCTTTCCCGGCCCAAATTTTGGGAATACTTAGCTCATGGCCAGGTTGAAATCAGGCCCCAGGAGCTGAAAACATGCCTCCAAGGTCTATGTCAGAATCCCAGGTGCTTCAAAAATCACCTGCTACCTCCCACAGTGTGTGTATCCCGCAAGCTGGAATTGCAAGTGGGACTGGACATCGACCCAGGCTCTCCAAGGTGGGGTATGGGCATCCCAAGAAATATCAGATCTGTTGCCACAAATGTGCATCGCACAACTTGACCTTTCAGTATCAAAACTGTCTGTATTTGAAAGGCACACACAGGAACTGGCACTGTGCTGTAGCGAGAAAAGCCACCACCTGCATTGGGCCATCCCATATGGGTGCTGGTTCAAGTCCCGGCTTCTCAACTTCAAATCACGCTTTCTGCTATGGCCTGGGAAAGCAGTAGAAGATGGCCTCCGTCCATGGGCCCCTATACCCACGTGAGACACCAGGAAGAAGTTCCTGGCTTATGGCTTTGATCAGTGTAGCTCCAGCCATTGTAGTGCAGCTCTGGCCATTGCAACAACTTGGGGAGTGAACCATTGGGTGGAAGACTTCTCTCTTTGTCTCTCTCTGCCTATGCCTCATGTAACTCTGCCTTTCAAATAAATAAATAAAAATTAAAAAAAAAGAAAGGCACATGCAGAGAGCTACAGATACACTAAGACTGTGAAGTAGACAGAAAGAAATGAGGTCTCCATCAGCAGGTTCAGTCCCCAAATGCCTGTAATACTGCTGCTCCTGTCATGGTAACACAAAACTTTCTGATCAATAGTAATTAATAAAGTTAGTAGGATAGTTACCTGGAAAAGCAGACAGAGTGCTGGCAAACGTCAGCGGATTGTGATGATCCGGCCTGTAACTAGGACAATACATACCTGGGACAGGGCTCAATTACCTGCGGCTCAGGTTCTGATGCAGCTCCCTGCTCATGTGCTGGGAAGGCAGAGGATGTGGCCCCAGTCCTTGGGTCTAGGCCACTGTCTTGGGCGAGACCCGGTGCAGTTCCCGACTCCTGGCTTCTCACTTGACCTAGAGATCACTGGGGAATGAACCAGCAGCAGTTGAGAGGTCTCTCTCTCTCTCTCAGTCTATGCTTCTCTCTGTGTCACTCGGCCTTCCAATGAAACTATCTTCTGGGGCCGGTGCTGTGACATGGTGGGTTAAACCTCTGCCGAGGAGCCAGCCTCCCATGTGGGTGCCAGTTCATGTCCTGGCTGCTCCTCTTCTGATCCAGCTCTCTGCTTATGGCCTGGCAACCCAGAGGAACATGGCCCACGTGCATGGGTCCCTGCACCCATGTGGGAGACCTGGAAGCAGTTCCTCTGTGCTGGCTTCACATCGGCTCAGCTCTAGCAGCTGAGGACATCTGGGGAGTGATCCATCAAATGGAAGCCCTTTCTGTCTCTCCCTCTCTCTCTCTCTGTAACTCTGCCTCTCAAATAAATAAATAAATCTTTAAAAAATATCTTTCAACAGAATCAATAATATGTAGAGAGTCACAGGGTGACAGACAGAAACCCCCCATCTGCCCTTTCACTTCTCAAATTTCAGAAATTCCTAATTCTTGGCCAAGTGGAAGCCAGGCCCCAGATCTGAATCCAGGTCACCAGGTTCTGTGGCAGCATCTCACGGACAGCTACAGATGGACTGAGACAGCGAGGAAGAGAGAGACAAGACAGATCTTGCATCAGGTAGTTTGGTCCCAAAATGCCCACAGGACCCGCTGCTCCTGAGATATACTTAGGCAAAACTTTAAGATCTACAGTAAATAATTAGTTAATTAATTAATTCACAGGTTAGTTACCTGCAAACTCAGAGCGAGTGCTGGCAAACTTGGGATGAGAGGTGTCCTTTCTCTCCCTGTCTGGGCTCTCTGATCCCAGGTCTCCCACGTGGACGGTAGGGACTGAGTTCCCCTGTCCTTCACCTTCTGCCTCCCGCAGTGTGTCTGGGAGGAGTCAGAACTGGAGCAGAGCCTGCACTGGACGCCAGGCCCTCCCATGTGGGGTGTGAGCATCACAGGGAGTGTCACGCCCACCAGTCCCCATGTCCACCCCCAGCCACCTGTTCCTCAGTCCTGCTTCTGGGGGCGGTGCAGAGCTGTGGCCGAGCAGGTTAAGCAGCAGGGAACACTATGGCCAGGCCTTCCATATGAACACGGGTTAGAGACCTGGCTGTTGGACTCATCATACAGAGCCCAGATAACTGGACTGGGAAAGCAGAGGAGGATGGCCTGGACCATGCCCCCCCCCCACATCATCAGTGGGACACTTGCATTGTCTTGCAGGCTCCTGGCTTCGGCCTGAGCAAGAACAGGAAACTGCAGGCATCTCATGAGTGCTCCAGTGTATAGAAGATCTTTCTCTCTGATCCTCTTGCTGTCAATAGCCCTGCCTTTGAAATAAACGTAGGAATCCAAGAATAAATTCAAATAAACAATTATAATGTTCAAATATTTTTAAAAAATGCATAATTTTGTTGATTTGCAAGGCAGATGGCGAGACAGACAGAAAGAAAAAAGAATGGAAGAATTGTCTAGGTGCTGTTTCAGTCATCAAATGCCAGCAATATGCATGGCCATCACTACCATCTGAAAGCTTCCCTAGAAGTCATGCATTACATATAATTAATGAATTAACACACTAATTCATTAATTCACATAAAGGGCTGGGAGAAGGCTCGCCCCATGGTCAGTGTGTTCAGCCTCCACTTCCATCCTGGGCAGGTACCCTGGCAGCCAGGGTTCTACTGCCAGCTGCTCTGCTTCTCATACAGCTCCCTACTAAGGTGCCTGGGAAGCCAGAGTAAGACATCCTGAGAACTCAGGCCCCTGCCCACCCCAGGGAGACCAGGGTGGACCATCTCCTGCTCCGTCTCTCCCTCTGTTTGTCAATCTGCCTTTCCAAATAAGGAAAGACATCTTTAAGAGCAGTATGTCAGCAGGGCAGTGACACAAAAATTTCCTATCTGCTGTTTCTCTCCCCACATTTCTGAAAACCCTGCTGTTGGGCCAGGGTGTTGCCCAGCATCAAGGAGCTGACTCCAGGCCTTCAAGGTCTGGGTCAGGATCCCAAGTGCTTCCACCCTCACCTGCTGCCTCCTGCAGTATATGTCCCCAGCAAGCTGGAATGGCCAGTGGGGCCAACACCTCAACCCAGACTCTGCAAGGTGGGACACAGGCACCCTAGGGAATGTTGCACCTGTTGCTACAAATGCACATTGCACAAGTTAACCTTCCAGGATCAAAACTGTGCTTGAAAAGCATACACAGACAGCTACAGATGGACTTAAGCAGTGAGGAAGTGAGAGAGAAAAGAGACCTTCCACCAGCTAGTTCAGTCTTCAAATGTCTGCAGTACCCACATCTGCTCCTGTCATGGTAATTGAAACTTTATGATCTCTAGTAATTAATGAATAGGTTAGTTACCTGCCAAATCAGAAAGAGTGCTGTCGAACTTCCACAGAAAGTGATGATGTGTCTTGCAACTCCCGCGATCCTTATCTGGGCCAGGGGTGGATTTGTGGATTCCCAGCTGCTCAGATTCTGATGAAGCTCTCTGCTAACATGCCTGGGAAGGCAATGGAAAGCCACCCAATCCTTGGCCCCCAACACCCATGTGCAGTTCCTGTCTCCTGGCTTCCTGTTGCCCATCCCCCCCACCCCACCCCCAGCCTCTGAGAATGTATGGAGTGTGAATCAGTTGATGCAAGCTGTCTTTCTGTCTCTGTGTCTGTTTCTATCAGTATCACTCTGCCTTTCACAGAAAGAAAATATATTTCAGTACAACCTACAAAAGGCAGAGAGACAAAGGGTGACACACAGATGGAGATAGAGACAGGCAGAAGCCTCCCATCTGCTCTTTCCTGCCCCAAGATTCAGAAACACTGAGTTCCGGGCCAGGTTGAAGCCATGCCTCCTAGGAGCTGAATCCAGGTCTCCCACATGCGTGTCAGGGATCCAATTCTTCCTGCTTTCACCCACTGCCTCCCACAGTGTGTGGCTGGGAAGCTGGAATTGGAGCAGAGCCTGGACTGGAAGGCAGGCCCCCCCATGTTGGTGTGAGCATCTCAGGAAGTATCAGACTCTCTAGACCACATGCCCCTCCCCCAGCTGCATGCTTCTCAGTCCTACTTCTTGGGGCTGGAGTTGTGGCAAGGTGGGTTAAGCAGCAGCCGGTGCTCTGGCCAGGCATCCCATAGGAGCACAGGTTCGAGTCTCAACTTCTTGACTCATTATCCAGCTCCCAGATAAAGTGCTTGGGAGAGCAGTGGCTTGTGCCCTTGGGCCCCAGCCACCCTCCTGGGACACCCGTGTGGTCTTGCAGGCTCCTAGCTTCTGCCTGACCAAGCCCTGGCAACTGCTGGCGTCTCGGAGTGCTGTGGTTATGGGAGATGTCTTTCTCTTTGTGTCCCTCTGTCTCTCAATAGCTCTGCCTTTCAAATAATTGAAGAGATCTCTAAATGAAACAACATAAAAGAAAATAAATACAATGGCAAAAATCTATATATATATATATATAAAATTTTTTTGAAATGTGGCCAGACATTGAGAAATGAACTGGAGGAGTTCTACTATGTGCCATTACAGTCCCCAAATGCCAGTGATCACCACTGCCATCTGTATCATGTTAAAGCTCAACTTTTAAACATATGTTTAAAAATTTATTTAATTATAATTTAAAATCTTAAGGCACCTTGGAAAGCAGCAGAAGATGGCCCAAGGGCTTGGCCCCTGCACCCATGATGGAGCCCCTGAGAAAGCAGGTAACAACAGCCTATGCAGTTGGACCCCTTCTACCCACATAGGAGCCCAGGATGGATTTTTGTGCTACCACCTTCATCCTGGCATGTTCCTGGCTGTTGTGGCCATCTGGGGGAGTGAACTAGTGGACAGAAGATCTTTTTGTTTCTTCTTCTCTTCCTTTTTCTCTGTCATGCTGCCTTTCAAGTAAATAAAGTAAACCTTACATATAAACACAGAGGACAGAAGGAGACAGGCAGGTAGGCAGGCAGGCAGGCAGGCAGAAGTTTCCCATCTTCTGGTTCCCTGCCCAAATTTTTGGAGCAGCAGTGATGGGTCAGGCTGAAGTTAGGTGCCGGAAGCTGAATCCAGGTCTCCCAGGTGTGTGGCAGGGTCCCAAGAGTTTGAAATATCACCTACAGCCTGCCTCGTCCAGTGTGTATCAGCAGGAAAGTGGAATTGGGAACACAGCCTTGACTGAAGCCCATCCTCTACCACACAGATTGTGGGCAGACTAATATGTGAACTGTTGCATGAAATGCCTATTCCACAGCTTTTCAATTTAGAATATAATTTTGTCTGTCTGAAGGGCAGACATTCAGACAGAGAGAAGCATAAATTGAGGACATTTCCTATCTACCAGTTCAGTCCCCTACTGCCTGCAATATCCACTGCCATCCCCATCATGTCAAAGCTTAACTTTAAAACATGGATTATGTAAAATTAATTTAAAATGCCGAGAGAGACCTAGCCTGTGGCACAGGGTATTAAGCCTCAGCATGCAACTCCAGCATCCCTTTTGTGACCCAGAGTTCAATTTCTGGCTCTCCTCTTTGGATCCAGTTCCTGCAAATGTTCCTGGGAAGACATAAGAAGATAGCCCAAGTATTTGTGCCCCTGCCACCCAGAATATGGACCAGCATGAGATTCTGGTCTCCTTGTTTCGGCCTGTACTAATTCCAGCTTTTGTGGCCATTTTGGGAGTGAACTGACAGGTAGAAGATCTCCTTCTCTCTGTCTCTCTCTTTCTCTCTCTTTTTTAAAGATTTTATTTATTTATTTGAGAGGTAGAATTACAGACAGTGAGAGGTAGAGACAGAGAGAGAGGTCTTCCTTCCATTGGTTCACTTCCTAAATGACTGCAATGACCGGAGCTATGCCAATCTAAAGCCAGGAGCCAGGTTCTTCTTCCTGGTCTCCCATTAGGTGCAGGTGCCCAAGCACTTGGGCCATCTTCCACTGCTTTCCCAGGCCACAGCAGAGAGCTGGATTGGAAGAGGAGCAACCGGGACTAGAACCCGGCACCCATGTGGGATGCCAGCACCACAGGCTGAGGATTAACCTACTGCACCACGGAGCCAGCCCCTCCCTTTCTCTCTTTACTCTGCCTTTCAACCAAATAAAATAAACCCTTAAGAACAATAAACAAAAAGCAGAGAGACAGAGTGAGACAGACAGGTATCTCTCACCTACTGTTTCTTTCCCAAAGTTTCTGAAATAGCTAGTGCTAAGCCAGGCTGTAGCCAGGTTCCAGGAAATTAAACAAGATCTCCCAGGTCTGTTCCAGGCTCCAAGTGCTTGAACCATCACCTGCTTCCTGCCTCAGTGTGTATCTGCAGGAAGCTGGAGTTGGGAATGGAGCCTGGGTGTCAATCAGGCTCTGTGTTGTGGATGTGAACATGTCAACAAATATCTGACTTACTGCACACATGATCATCCCGGCACATTAAGTTTTTAAAACACAATTTGATTTAAAGATAAAATTTTTTTTAAAGACAGAGCAAAAGCGAAAGGAGGGGAGACAAAAAGATCTTCTATCCACTAGTTCACTCCCCAAATGGCCACAAGTTTATTTTAAATTTGATTTATTTTAAAGAGAGAGAGGGAGGGAGAGACAGAGAAATAGAGAAATTCCCCATCAGCTAGTTCAGTTACCAGATGCCTGCATTATCCACGGTTATCCCTATCCTGTTAGAGCTGAACTTTAAAACATATATTCATTAATTGATTAAAAATACAGAGATGAGAGCAGCATTGTTTAACAGGGAGTTTAGCTGCAGCTTGCATCTCCAGCAATCCATTGAGAGCCAGTGTTTGACTCTCTGCTGCTCTGGTTCTGATCCTGTTCCCTGCTTACGTGCCTGGGAAGTCACTGGAAGATGGCTGAATTCATTAGGACCCTTCCACCACTGTGGGAGACCCAGATGGTGTTCTGGGATCCTGACTTAGGCCTGGCTCAGCCACAGCCTTGTCACCATGTGAGGAACAAAGCAGCAGATGGAAGATCTCTTTGTCTGTCCCTCTCTGTCATTCTGAATTTCAATAAATAGATCTTTTAAAACAGTAACTAAAAGGTAGAGAAACACGGGGAGATGGACATACATAGATCTTCCATCTGCTGCTTTCTTCTAAAAATTTCTGAAATAGCTAATGCTGGGGGGTTGAGACCTGGAGCCAGTAGTTTTAGCTAGGTCTTCCACGTGGATGGCAGGGACCCAAGAGCTTGACACATCACCTGCTGCCCTCCACAGTCTGTACTGGCAGGAAGCTGGAATTGGAACAGAGCCTGGACTTTAGAGTGCAGGCACTCTGGGCCAGCACCGGTGCGCAGAGTATTAACGCCCCAGCTTGCATGGCCAGCATCACATTAGGGCAACAGTTTGTGTCCTGGCTGTTTCACTTCCGATCCAGCTCTCTGCTAATACTCCTGGGAAAGCAGTAGAAGATGGCCCAAGTACTTGGGCCCCTGTACCCACATTGGAGACCTGGGAGAAGCTCCTGGCTTCTGGCTTCAGCCTGGCCCAGCCCTGGCCATTGTGGCCATCTGGGGAGTAAACCAGTGGATGGAAGACCCCTCTCTTTTTCTCTCTCTGTCACTCTGCCTTTCAAATAAATAAAAATAAATCTTAAAAAAAAAAGAATGCAGGCACCCCAACATAGGATGTGTGCATCTATGGAAATATCATACCTATTAAATTAAATGCCCAAATCACAGCTTTACTTTTTGTAAGCAAAATTTTATTAATTTTAAAGGCAGGCAGAGAGAGACATCTGCTTCTTTAGGCCCCATGTGCCAACAACATCCACTGGTATACATATCGAGTTAAAACTCAACTTTAAAGCATATAAGTAAAATTAATTAATTAATACAAAAGGCTGTGAGGGGACTAGCCTTGGGACACGGGGTGTTGAGACTTAGCTTTCAATCCCAGCCTGCTCTCTGGGAGCCAGCGTTCCATTCCTTGCTGTTTGCTTCCCATGCAGCAACCCACTAATCTACCTGAGAAGCCAGCTGAAGACAGTCAGTGTACCTGGACTCCTGCCCCGCCACCAGGGGAGACCAGGATGGTGTTCTGGCCTCCTGGGTTCGGCATGGCCCAGCCTCAGCAGTTGCGGTCATTTGGGGACTGACCCAGTGGATGGAAGATCTCTTTGTCTCTCTGTCTCTCTATCATTCTGCCTTTTAAATAAATAATTAAATCTTTAAAATCAAGAAAGAAAAGACAGACGCAGACAGAGTGATACTTCCAGTCTGCTCTTTACCTCCCCAAATTTCTGAATTGTCTAATGCTGGGCCAGGCTGAAGCCAGGAGCCAAGGGCATAATCCAGGGCTCCCCCGTGGGTAGCAAGGACCCAAGTATTTGAACCTGCTGCCCCTCCCCCCAACAGTGTAAATTGTATTAAAACGGGAATTGGGAATAGAGTCTGCATTTGAACTCCGGGGGCCAGCGCTGTGGTGTAGTGGGTTAAAGCCCCAGCCTGCAGCGCCGGCATCCCATATGGGTGCCGGGTTCGAGCCCTGGCTGCTCCACTTCGAACTCCGGCACTATAACATTGTATAGTGGCCCTCAAAGTGTGCTGCTAGGAGCAGGAGCTCGTATGCCCTGGCCCTTTGGACCCTCTCCCGCCCCTCAGCCACGGTCTGCCGGCCCTTGCAGAGCCTCTCAAGGCTGCTGCATGTGCCCCCTACCTGCGTCACAACCGGCGGTTACTGGCTTGCGAGATACGGTCTGCCAGGGTGTGCTTTGCGCCTGCGTGTGGCCCCCGCGGCCTTTCAGGGCGTGGCCCGCCCGCGGGTGGCTGCCGCTTGCCCGACTCCAGCTGGGCCTGGGGCCTGGGCCGAGGCGCGGGAGCAAGAGGGGCCCTGAGCCAGCTGGTTCAAAGCGGCTCAGAAGATAAAATAACTGTCCAGTTTATAAACCCTGATGGTGAAACCTTTACCAACAAAAGGAAAAGTCAGTGATTCTCTGCTAGATATTGTGGTAGAAAATAATTAAGATATTGAGTGTTTTGGTGCATAGGAGGGAAACTTGGCTTGCTCTGTCCCTTCACCTTAAATAACATAGATGAGTAGTTACATCACTGATAAGAATGACATGCATGAGCTTGCGTATGGACTAACAGATCGCGGTTGGGCTACCGAATCTGTTCGACAAAAATCTATGGACAATATGACTGTTCAAGTACCTGATGTGGCTGATGCCAGACAGTCTGTTGATGTGGGCGAGAAATCCTTAAAAAATAGAACCACGAAATTTTACCTGATTTTTATAATTATTATTTTTCTTTTTTAAAGATTTTTTACTTATTTGAAAGAGTGACAAAGAGAAAGGACAAGAGAGCTCTTCCATCCACTGGTTTACTCTCCAAATGGCCACCATGCCCAGGGCTGGGCCGGGCAGAAGCCAAGAGTTCCATCTGGGTCTTCCAAGTGGTGCAGGGGCCCAAGCTCTCAAGCCATCTTCCAGTGTTTTCCCAGGCCATTAGCGGGAAGCTATATGGGCAGTAGAGCAGCTAGAACTCAAACCCTTGTTCTTACGGGATGCTGGTGTTTCAGGCCATGGCTTAACCTGCTCAGCTACAATGCCAGCCCCAGAAAATATTTAATTGCTCAGTGAACTACTTGATTTCTTAGTTATTAACCTTATAAATATTTCCAATTTTTGATTTGGTGAGTTAAGTGTGCAGATAGGTGTCTTAACACTGTCAAAAAAGTTTGATCTTCATTCTGACTGAACTACAAGAATAAAGTAAAATTAGATATCTTTATTCCTTTCTGATATAATTGTCTATTTTTGTAATCTTTTGAAAATAACATATATAAATCAGGTTTCTTTCTCTAGAGCTGGAGAAAGCAATGAACTGCTCTGTACAGCACACCCCCAATTGATACCATTGTGTCACCCAGGGCCAAAGCTACATGGGTTCTGAGCCACTGCCCCAGAAGTGAGGCAATGGCCTGAGCACTATTGATTACCAATTATTTATGGAAGGCATGCATATCATTATTTTAATGTAAGTAAATTCATATATTTTTTAAAAATTGAATATGGCATCCCAAAGAAAAATCTCATCCACTGCATCAAAATGCCCACCCCAGTTTTTACATTTCTAAAATAAATTTTATTGGGGTCTGCACTGTGGCGTAGCTGGTAAAGCCTCTGTCTTCGATGTTAGCATCTCATATGAGCGGCAGTTCCGAGTTCCAGCTGCTCCACTTCCTTTTCAGCTCCCTGGAAATGCCCTCGGAAAGCAGCAGGTGGCCCATGAACTCAGGCCTCTGCACCCACAGTAGGAGACTCAGGTGATGCCTCTGGCTCCTGGCTTCCGCCTGGCCCAGCCCTAGCGATTGTGGCCATTTGGGGAGTGAACCAGAGGCTGGAAGCTTTGTCTCTCCCCACCCTCCTCTCTCTCTGTAACTGCCTTTTAAGTGAGTAAATCTTTAACAAATAAAAATAAAAAATAAATTATATTTATTTAATGTCAGAGAGAGAGAGAAAGAATGGGAGACAGAGAATTATCTCCCATTGCTGGTTCACTTCCCAAATTTCCCAACAGCTAGGCCTGAGACATGATGAAGGCACAAACTAGGAACTCAGTCTGGATCTTCTGGGTATGTGGCGGTGACCCAAGTACTTTAGCCTTCACCTACTTTACTTTTTGGGGAAAACAAACAAACAAACAAACAACCTGAATTGAGTTTTATCACAAAAGCAGTGACATGGTCACGACTGAAAATATAGAATATAGACTAAAACCATATCATCTCTCATTTCAAAAATGAGATAAGTATCCTGATGGTGTATGCCATTCATTTCTCTCCACACATACACTTATCCTCTCATATTTCTCACACAGTCACTGCTTTTAAAAATGGCATCATTCATTACAGCATTAATTGCACTGAATATCTGACAGTTTTCCTATCAGTCATCAACCCTGAAACACCCTCACAAGTTTACCCCCACACCTCCCTTGCTCCCTCCCTCCCTCCCTCCGAAGTTTAGAAGCCCCTGTTCCTAACACCTAAAATTTTTCTTCTAGAAACTGAGACCTTCCGGGCTCAGGTCCCCTATTCCTACTGTTCTATGCTTCCTGATCTTGGGTCTTCCTCCCCCACCCCATTCCTACTTTGGGCCATCCCCCCTCCCCCTTCCTGGATCAGGAAGTGTTTCCTGACCCTAGGTATCCCCCCCCACCCTTCCTTTTCTCCAGATACCTTGGTTAAAAACCTCCTCCCCCCTTTGATTCCTTCTCCCTGCGAAGCGTCAGCTAGCATGCTAGGAACTTCTTTTAATCCCCCAAATATGATAGGACCGCGATTAAAAAAAGAAAGAGAGAGTTTTGATGAAAACAGCATCTAAGTTTTATTGGTAAAAACATTTCATACGGAAAGTCAACTTGGAAAATATAACTCTCAACTTCGGGGCAAAGGCAAACCACTTTCAAGGACCAGGGGGCCTGGAATCTAGGGCCACCAGTAGGTAAGTGCTGCAGTGAGCGGGAAAGGAGGCTTCACCTCTGGCCACAATAGGATTAACAGCAAAAACTCTTACACACCTAAATAAAGGGGAGCCCGTTCACCCAGTGGGTGGCTGTTAGCTCCTTTCACAAACCTTGGGGAAACTAACAGAGGGGCACAGCACAATACTGGGGTTGCTGACTTAAGTCTCCTCCGTCTCCTCCGTCTCCTCCTCCTCCTCCTCCTCCTCCTCCGGAGATGCAGAACTCAGAGCCTCAACCTCAGGCATAAGAGCGCGCCGAAGGCTAGCAGGGCTGGGAGTACGGATGGAGTTCAGACCCAGAAACACAGGAGAGGAGGAAGAGGAACCACCGTCGGAAGATGCAGAGGAAGAGGGGATGGGGATAGGGATGGGGACAGGGACGGGGACAGGGGCCCGGGTGGGGGTGGAGGAGGAAGAGGAGGAGGAGGAGTAAGACCCAGAGGAGGAGGAGGGACTGCTCCCACCACACTTGCCAGGGGGACAATAAAACCTTCCCGGAGGTGAGGGCGAGGAGGCACGCATACGGACTGCGTGCCAGACAGGCGGCGGAGGCCGGCTCTCCACTTCACGTTCGGGAGACTCAGGGCTGCTATCAAAGACCAGCTTTCGTAAGGGGCACCCACGAGGAGAATAATGATTCTCCTCAGCGGGATCCGGCCCAGGCCTGGGCACAGATCGGCAGGTGACAGTGGCCGACCTTCTCGGAGCTGGGCGTCTCCGGGAGATACGATCTGGCATCTCGGCGCCACCGCCACCGCCACCACCACGACCACGGCCTGGACCGGATGCCCCGCTGTTGCAAACGGGACCCGGCGCAGAGGCAGTGCGCCGAGCCGCGGAGCCCGAAGGGGTGGTGCGCCTTCGGACAGGGAGGACCGGCAGAGTGGCGCGGCTTCGGGAAGCAGGATCCCGCAGAGTGGTGCGGCCGCGGGAAGAAGGGCTCAGCGGCGCGGCGCGGCGGCGTGCAGCGGGGCTCGGCGTCGGGGCGCGGCGGCGTGGAACCGGACCCGTCTGGGTGGCGCGGCTTCGGCAAGCAGGGCCCGTCTGGGTGCCACGGCTTCGGCAAGCAGGGCCCGTCTGGGTGCCGCGGACTCGAACAGCAGGACCCGGCTGGGTGGCGCGGCCTCCGTCAGCAGGAATCGGTGAAGCTGCGCGGCGTCGGATAGAAGGGCCTGGAGCAGATGCGCGGCCTCCGACAGCAGCAGGTGCCTGGGTTGGAAGAGCAGAAATTGGTGCTGGTGCACCGCTGCTGGCGGCAGAGCCTGGTGGCTTGGCCTGGCTTCGGAGGGCAGGGCCTGACCCTACCGCTTGAGTGCGGAGGCTTCGGCTGCGCTGAGACCCAGAAGATGGCGGCTCAGGGTCGGCAGCCCCAGGAATCACGGGGCGCTCTGGAGGCTGAGCGGCCTGCTTACGGCTGGACTGCTTCTTGCGACGCTTGGTCTCAGGGCTCTTCGTCAGGGACGCGTGGCCTTCGAGCTGGTCGGTGCCCTCCAGGGATTGCCCCAGAGTGTCCGCAGTGCCGGTCGCAGGCTCCTTAACAGACGTGTGGAGACCAGGGCTGCCCTGCAGGTCGCAATTCTCTGCCTGCACACTGGTGGGCAGCCCCGAGTCTTCCTGCACGTAGGAAATGGCGGCGGCAGCGGCAGCGGCGGCTGCTGCACCAGTATCGCCACCTCCGCTGAGCAGCACGCCATCCAACAGATCGCCTGAGGCAGGGGCGGCCAAGGCCAGCGGATAGCGGTTGCTGGGCCTGCAGGCATCGCCGGAGGCAAAGTCGGCCTCCTTCCGCCCTCCAGGCACCTCATTGGGCTGGTGCTCCTTCTCATTCTCAAAGCGCGACTGGGTGGCCATACTGCCCAATTCTCGCTGAGAGACTGGCTCAGAGACGGAGGAGGGCGGCTGCGGCGGCTGCGGCGGCTGCGGCGGCTGCGGCGGTGGTGGCGGCTGCTCCCGTGGCTGAGTGTAACAAAGAGTGGTATAGCCCCGAGGATGGGTGTGGCCGGCCAAATCTTTGTCTCTGATTGGCGAGCTGGGCATCACGTGACACTTCTCGGCTTTTCGAAGCTTCCCAACCCCCACAGCCGCCAGGCGTCTGACGCTCTGGGAGGCGGGAGGCCTCAAGCGGCAGGCGGGGAACGGGGGGAGGGGCAGAAAGGAGGATTGGGGGGGTCAGGGGGGATGGGGGATGGGAGGGTGGTGTGCGCCCTTTTTCCAGGGACTAGCTCAAACAGGTATATTCCACTTCTGTGGAGTCTACCTTAGCCTGGTCGCTAGTGTTGAGTTTGTGGGCCCTCAAGACAGTGTGTTTGAGAAACGGGGCCGCGTTTCAAAAACAAGGCTGCGGCAAGATGTCTGCGGCAAGATGTCTGCGGCAAGATGACTTGAACGAGTTGTGGCACCTCCAGATCAGCTTGTGGGCACCATTCTGGTGGCTCAATATCGAGCGATCCCTTGAGAGCAGTGCCACACTGGACAACGGGCTATATCCCCTGGCCAGATGTCCCTCCTGGTATCTAGTCAGGACAGTGAACCCCTGTGTGCCTCCTGGGGGGATGGTCCCATAGCTCCTCCAGGCAGCTGGAGGGTTCCACACTGGGCCTCGAGGGTTTTCAGCTTGGCAAAAGGCCAGAGGGAAACAAAAAGAATCGGTTCTATAGTGTCTTGACTCCAGATGTACAGTTCTGCCGTTTCCCTCAGGTTCTGCACACCGGAGAGGCGTTTAGAATTTTCCAGTAAAACGTTTCTCCCTGCTTTGTCCCCTGGGGCACAGGCAGCGGGATGCCTAGGATTAAAGGTGATACTGTCCTTAAATATGCATCGACATTTGTACAGTCTGTATAGTAATTCACAGATGAACGTAATTTATCTGGACTAATCTCTAGTTTCTGTTCATATAAATATGTGACCACAGACTGGATGGTTAATATTTGTACACTCATTTTTAGTCATCATTACAAAAGGGTCATGCGTTCAGTACCCAAAACAGAAAAGCAAATGTGTGAAAACTAGCTCTAAAATGCCCATGTACCAATCGGCAAATACCTGGGATTTTTAGTCACGTCACTCTAGAAACGCATTCATACACATTTCGTCGTTTTAAGGAAATGGACTTATTTATGCACACATATTTTAACTTGCTTTTTTGGGGTCCAGAACACACACTTTTTATGTCAATAAATACATTTCCATAAGGCATTTTGCACCTAAAAAATACACCTCTTAGGGAGGAGGCTTGTATTTTCCAGTATTCCTATATTGTCAAACCCTTACACATCTTTTCACACCGTGAGGCACACTGTCACCAAACATTGTTCATACCCTCAAATAAATACTTGTAGCTAAATTCTCAGAAGGGGAAATTCTCAGTACAAGTCCATGCACAATTATAATTCTTCGATAAAAATATTGGCAAACTGCTCTCCTGAAAATTGCTGTTAAAATTTGAGCAGAATAGAAAGGTATTTAAGGGAATGGGTGAGCAACTGGACTGAAACACAACTCAAAAATAGAATGGAATGGTATTTGGAGTGTACAATAGTGTGGAATGGAAAATGGATTTGAAATGGAATGCAGAATGGGATGAAATCGATACTGACAGCAAGTGGAAACGAATAAAATGGAGTAATAGAATATGGGTTTGAACAGGACATGCACAGGAAAATTGAATGGGATGGAAATTGAATAGAATATCACTGGAAAAGGGAATGAAACACAATTGAAATAAATAATATTATATGGAATAAAACAAAAGTATGAGGCAAAGAAGAAATGGAGTATAGTGTGAAAAATATTAAAGGAAATAGAAGGAAACCAAAATAAATAATATAAAATGGGATGGGATGTACAAATGACCTGAAATAATGGAACTATGACATATGCACTACAGATTTTAAAATAGCAGAAAAGAATGGAATGAAATATATAATAAAAATTCATAATGAGAATAGGAATGGAATATGGAAAATGAAATATTAAAAATACAGGGTGGAGTATTTTGTGTTGTGAAACAACATCTATTTCATCCTCATGGCTTTTATAGAGCTAGAATTCAGACAGGACCCAGATGGAGCAACTGGCTTCAGTCTGTCCCAGCCCTGGCTGTGGCCGGCAGTTGGGACATCAATCTTACGAATTAGCAATGGGATCTCTCTCTCTCTCTCTCTCTGGCAGTTGCTTTGCTTTTCAAATTAAATAAATACTTTTTAAATACCTTGTAAAAAGTAAAGCTGGGAGGTGGGCATTTGGTGAGCTGGTTAAATGCCTCTTGGGATGCCCACGACCCGGATCAGAGCACCTGGGTTTGAGTCAGACAGGATATAGTAGGGATGGTTTGTCTGTGCTCCACCGTGTCTGAAACCTCAGCTGGGAAATTTAAATGGCTTCCGAAGTCATGAGGGAAAGAAAGATGACTTTCATTCTTTTCATACTTTACTTTCTGAATGTTTTCAGTGAGTCTATATTGCTTTTGTACTCTGGAATAAAATGCCTATTTGCATTTTTGAAAACAACAATGTACAATTAAAACAATAAACATAAAAATGTTCAGATTTTAAGTAGTTCTAACACAAAGGGACCCCTTGTACTACTAGAGGGCTTTATAAATTCACAGCACCTTTTACAGATGAAAATTTGATGATATGATAATGCATATGTAAAAATCTCACATGTAATCTATGTGATGCCACAATTCCTATTCTGGGCATATGAAATGCTCATATATACTCACAGTGTTATAAGGTGATAATTAAAGTGTCATTTATCTTTTATTTATTTAAATTTATATTTAATAATTTTATATGTGGGATATAATATGATATTTTGCCATACAAATACTATGTAATGATAAAATCAGGGTACTTACCATATCTATCACTTCAAACACTCATCATTATATTGAGAAAAAAATTTTTAGCTATTTTGAAATATACAGTAAACTATGGTTAACTGTAGGCACCCTACTGTGATAATTAGAACTTACTCCTCCTATTGAACTATAATTGTATTTCCGTAAACCAGACTCTCCTCATTCTTCTTTCTGCTCTACCCATCCCAGCCTCTGGTAACCACAATTCTACTCTCAATGGCTATGACATCATCTTCTGCAGCTTCGACATATTAGTGAGAACATGTGGTATTTCTCTTTCTGTGCCTGGCATATTTCATTTAACATAACGTCTTTCAGTTATTTCCATGTTGACACAAATGACAGGATTTAAGTTTTTATGGCTGAGTAATACTTCATTGTGCACACAGAACACACATTTTTTTAATCCTTTAATCCACTGATGGTTATTTTCCTTTCTTCGCTATAGTGCTACAAGAACTATGGAAGTACAGATGTCTCTTTGATATACTGATTTCCTTTCTTTTGGATATATGCCCAGTTGTGGGATTGCTGGATCAAATGGTATTTCCATTTTTCACTCTTGATAAACCTCTATACTGTTTTTCCATAATGACTGCATTAAATTACATTCCTACCAACAATGTATAAGACTTCCATTTTCTCCACATACTTGCCAGCACTTATCATCTGTATTTTGATAATATCCACTCTAACTGGGATGAGATGGTATCTCATCATTTTCATTTGTATTTCTGTGATGATGACTATAGTGATGTGCATTTTTTCATATGCTAACTGGCTATCTATATGTCCTCTTTTGAGGAATATGCAACCCATTTTGACATGTGAATGATATTCTTCACAGACAATCCTAAAATTCATATGAAACCACAAAAGATCTCAAAGATCCAAAACAATCCCAAGCACACAGAATAAAGCTGAAAGCAGCATACTACCAGATTTCAGAATATATCTCAAAACTATAGTAACCAAAACAGAATGGTACTGGCATATTAACAAACACATAGACCAAAGCAACAGAATAAAGAACCTAGAAATAAACGCACATATTTGGGGCCAGCATTGTGGCATAGTGGGTAAAGCCGCTGCCTGTGAAGCTGGCATCCAAATGGGTGCTGGTTTGAGTCCTGGCTGCTCCACTTCTGATCCAGCTCCCTGTTAATGTACCTGGGAAAGCATCAGAATATGGCCCAAATGCTTGGGGCCCTGCAGCCATGTGGGAGACCCAGAAGAAGCTTCTGACTCCTGCTACATCTAGCCCAGCCCTGGCTGTTGCGGCTATTTGGGGAATGAACCAGTAGATGGAAGATCTCTCTGTCCCTCCCTCTCTCTCTCTCTCCATAACCCTTCCAAATAAATAAATCTTTTTTAAAAAATAAAATAAATGCACATATTTATAATCAACTGATTTTCAGGGTAGCAGGAATACATAATGGGAAAGGGACAATCTTTGCTACAAATAGTCCTGGAGAAACTATATATCTACAAACAGATGAATTTTGACCTGTAACTCTCACATATACAAGAATCAACTCAAAATTGGATAAAGATTTAAATGTAAAATATGCGACTGTGAGAAGAACACATAAGGGAAATGCACTAGGATATTAGTTTGGCAAAGTTTTTGCTGCTGTTGTTATTTTTTTGGCTATGACCTCAAAAGTATAAGAAACAAAAGCAAAAGGAGAAAAATGGGATTACATCAAAATACAAAGCTTCTGCACAGCAAACATTCAGCAGAGTGAAGAGACAACCTGCCAAATGGGAGAAAATGTTTGCAAACTATTCATCTGACAAGAGATTAATATCCAGAATCTATAATGATTGCAATAGCCACAACAAAATAAATCAAATTAAAATATGGGCAAATGATCCATATAGTATCCTTTATTTTTAAAAATCTGAAACAGCATAAATTTCCCATAGAATATTCAGTGTTCATAGAATAAACATGTAGCCTTTATAGGATGCTTTTTGAAAAACTTTTAATGCCATGGGAAAATGGTTGTTATATTATGCCCTCCCAAATATCTGATATACTATCTACTGATATTCTTATACTTTTTTCTTTTTTTAAGATTTATTTTATTTATTTGATAGGCAGAGTTAGAAAGAGAGAGAGAGAGAGGGAGAATCTCCCCAAATGGCTGGGGCTGGGCTAAGCCAGGCCAAAGTCAGGAGCCAGGAGATTCTTCCAGGTCTCCCACAAGGGTGCAGGGGCCCAAGCACTTGTCCCAGCTTCTTCTGCCTTCCCATGGGCATTAGTAGGGAGCTTGCTCATAAGTGGAGCAAACAGGACTTGAACAGGTGCCCTTATGGGATACCGGCACTGCAGCTTTACCTGCTATGCCACAATGCCAGCCTCACCTATTTATTTTTATATTTACCTAGATTTCTACATACATTAGCATTTTATTCTCCCTAGTGTAGCTTTTCTCAGGCAGGGGAATTCTGCCCCCACCCAAGGGGAAATGTAAAAATGTTTGTAGACTGCCACAATTAGGCAGGGGGTGATGCTATTGGCATCTAGAGTGTGGGGACGAGGGATGCTGCTTAACCTCTTCAATGCACAAGGGAACCTCTGACAACTGAATTACCTGACCCCAAATGCTGATAGTGTCAAGGTTGATAAATCTTACATTACATCGTATAGACAGTTTCAAAAACTTGAAGAGATTTTAGAGGTGGGTATAAGGTGCACTGGTTAAGATATAGCTTAGTATGTGGACATCCCATATTGTAATGCCTCGGTTCAAGTCCTGGATATTTTTCTGATTCCATCTTCCTGCTAATGTGTACCCTGGAAGATAGATTGAGTATTTGAGATCCTGTCACCCTTGTGGGAGACACAGACTGAGTTCCCAGCTCCTGGCTTCAGACTGGCCCAGCCAAAGTTTTACAGGCATTTGGGGGGA